TTCATTGAGAATTTATGAGTATAAATACGAATGAGAAATGGTTACCTTCGATTAGTATATATAGGGTGTTTCTGCCTGTGAAATAATAACATTCATTTTAGAAATTTACTAGGATTTAAACAAATTTTTTTTTTGTGCTTTAAAAGAACTGAAGTCCTTCCAGTGAAGACAGAACATTAGAAATTGCCTCTTTAGGAGCTGGAGGCTCAGCTGGTAAAGAATCCGCCTGCAATGAGGGAGAAATTGCCCCTTTAAGTATCTCTGTGTATCTCTATTCCTATATTCATTCTGCAAGTGAACGGAGAAGGTAAAAAAAAAATAAATACACATTAGTGTACATTAGAAACTCATAAAGGCATCAGCTGAGTGATTGTTCAATGGACAGAGAAACACTTCATGTGAACTTTTTCACTTTCTTTGTAACCTCTTAGCTGTACTGTTCACTTAAAGATCGGCAGATTTCGGTATTTTTTTTTTAAAGCACGGGGAACATCTGCTACAAGTGGACTAAGACAATTATTTTTCTTCTAGGGGAAGAGGTGATATTGGAAAGCCTCTCCACCTTTCACATTTACCTGCACACAAGTGGCTGTTGTAGTGATCGTAGTGACCTAGTAACCTTTCCCACACGGCACAGCCGCAGGGTAGAGAGGCCTTGAGCAGCTGCTGTTATCAGGCCCCTTTCTTTTGGGCCTTCTCTCATGTACTTGGGTTCCTTCTGCTGAGCTGAATTCAGCCAGGTCTGGTGAGAAAGATCATAAGCAGTAGCCCTTTCACACAGTCACTTTGAGCAGATATAGGATGGAACTAGCATTGATGTTGACAGCAGTTGGACACTTTACACTGATGCTTATGCAAATATGTCCTCACCCTTGCTGCTGGTTCTGCGAAGCGTCTGTTGGGAACAGACACCAGAACCCAAAGTGGTAAGTCTTTTGTGGGCTTAATCTTGGTAATAAGACACTTGATTTTGTGGGTCTGAGTAATAATAGCTACCATTTACTGCAAACCTACTCTGTACTAGAGCCAATCTAAACCATCTCTGTTTTTCAGAATAGTCAGGCAGAGTAGTTGTTATTATTCCTGTTTTATAGATGAGCTATGGAAGCTCCCAGAAGAGAAACTGAGAAGTTTCTCAAGGTCTTGTGGCTGGTTAGGTGCTGAGCTAGGTATTCAGACCTTGGTCTTTCTTTTCAAAGGTCATGCTGCCTGTCTTAGAACTGAGCGCAGTTAGGATTACCCTGCAGGACTTTTAGTAGTGAAAACAGCTTTTCAGATTCCTCTCTGTTCCCTTTGTTATCATTGGGATGATCCATTGGTCTCCTGGGTTGTCTGTGTCTGTTGCTTCCCTCTTCCTTTTTTCTCATGCTTAACTGTAGGAGGAGGTGGCTCAGTGGTAAAGAATCTGCATGCCAATGCAGGAGCCACAGGAGATGCTGGTTTGATCCCTGGGTCAGGAAGATCTGCTGGAGAAGGGCATGGAAACCCACTCCAGTATTCTTGCTTGGAGAATAATACCATGGACAGAGGAGCTTGGGGACTAAAGTCCATCAAAGAGTCCAGCACGACTGAGTGACTAAGCATGCACACATGCAACTGTAAGAGGAAGAACGGGTGTGTGTTTGTGAGTTGTGTGTGCTCACAAGGGTCTGTGTGTGTTTGAAGGAGGAAGAGAGGGAGGAGGTTGATGGACGAGGACTTCCTTTTCTGTACCAAAGACAGGGATCCCTCAGGCTGCTCACATCAGTCAAGGCTGATTGTGGTTAAAACCTCCATATAAATTTCAAAAATTCTTGGCCCGGGAGACTGTCAATTTTCCTTACTCCATACTTGATTAAATGAATTGCCCTGTTACATAGCAGTAATGCTGCCTTGAATTCTGAAAAAGTTCAGACTAGAGATTAACAGTGCAAGAAGTGGTAACAAGTGAACAGTTTAAAAAGGCCCTCATGAACTCTACAGATGTATTTGTTCTTTCCTTTTGCATTTTTTATCTTTTGCACACCCCACCCTACCCTGCCTTGACTATGTCTTCCTAAGCAGTCTTCTTGGATAAGGCCTGTGAATGCTGAAGCAAGCCTAAAAGAAGAGAGACGTCACCGACTGAAAATATTATCAGAGTAGCATGGATGTATGAGAAGACGTGGCAGAAACGGGATGAAGAGCAGAGGGAAGGGAAGCTTGGGGAAAGAGCTCAGTGTGACTGAAAGGGCTTTCATAGCTTGCTTGGGACAGGGAGAATGAGAAATGTCTGCTCCGGGTGGTGTAATATGAACAGAGGAGACAGAAAGGCTCGGCCACAGAAGCCCTCTTTGCTTCCCATCTTCATCAGAGAATGACCTTGCGAGCTGGAAAGTGGAGAATGGTCATTACTGAGAGTGCATTAGAGCCTGAATTATGAGTTAGATGGAAAAACCACGCGATCCTTCTGATGCTGAAATCTACATCCCCAGTAATGTGGTGTTTTACCCATGATCTCAAGGTCGCATTATGTGACTTGTGAGGAAATTACCAGGACATTGGAGATGGGTGAATGTCTTAAATAAGAGGGAGATGAGTGAATGTTTTAAATAAGGGGGAACATTATTTTCTAGAAGCTAAGGACCTGCACTAAGCTTGGTGTCAGTTCCTGGCAAAGCTGTAGATAAATGATTGACCAGAGACCTTACCTGTGCTTGGTAAAGAGTGTGGTGGTCCCCAGAAATCAGCATGGACACCACTCAGAAGCCTTGTCCAGACCTCATTTTTTTAAGTACTGCTTTCTTTTATTTAATTTTTTGGAGGAGGATACTAGATTATTATATATACAGATTCATAGTCTCACATTTCATGTGTGCTCATTTAGCTTAAATAGTGCTCACAGACTATCATTTTGGGTAAGGCTTGATTTCAGTAAAGTATTTGGGAATATCCCTTAAAACCTAAGTGAAATGCTACTTCGATGCTATCCCATGTTTTGAAAACTAAGCCGAAAAGTTTGTTGGCTAATGAATGAGGTGATGTCCTCGTGTGGGGATGCTCAGGAAGGGACTGTAATTGGCCTTAGTTTTCACCTGGGAAAGAACCCCCAAGCCCAACCAAACAACAACAACAACAACAACAACAACAACAAACCCAACTCAACAGGAGAAGGATGCCTCACTGTCAGATTGCAGATAAGAGAAAGCTGGGAAGAGCAGCTGATAAGAAAGTGGAGAGACTAAAAATTCGAATCATCCTGTTGGCTTTTTATTATTTTATTACTAAGTAGTATTGTTAAATATTGTTAATATTTGTAATTCTGTTATGCCCGATGTCTGAATCCCTGAGCGGGAAGAGAGAAGGCTTCCAAGACAATGCAACTCGCATAAAAGGGAAGTTTATTGCTGACTCGAGTCAGGGCTCCTGCCGGGCGTCCAACGCAGTGGTACGGGGTCAGAGAGCGCTGAGCTCAAGCTGTTACCCAATTTATAAGTTGTGCATAAGCAGCTGGCTTAAGCGGATTGGTTACATGTTTGCAAAGTAATCTTATGGCCCAAACCTTCGCGGGCTTTTTTCAAACTTGGGCGTTCGCGGGCTTTTCAGCTTTCCCCTGATAGGTTCCCTTTTTCTTACTAGGTGCATGTTGATTGGCTGGCTCCAGGTGGCCTGATAATCATGTTACCCTGGAAAACCAGGCCTACTCCTAATCTAGGCTGTCTATCATGGTGCAGCCTCACAATTTCAAGTTCTGAATTTATTACCAAAATCAATTAAACAATATAGTAGGGTAGGGAAAATATCCTTTTGAGGTTGTTATGGAATTTTTGGACTTTTAGCTAACCATAATATTATGAATAATATATATCTATAAAAATTTTCAAAAAGGAAGCAAAATGCAACTCTACAGTAAGCAAAATAAAACAAAAGAAATTCAGATGACATTTTCTGAATATACTGTCTATATCTGAAATACCACTTAGGTTACCTCTTTGTCATTCATTCTGGCATTTTAAGGATAAGAGTAATTGGTTCTTGGTGGCATATTTTAAGTACGTTAAAAAGTTGACATAATTACCAGAGCAAGTTGATTGGAGTGTGGAGAACAACAGTATCTGGGTATCATGTTCTAGAGACATCATGGCATGAATTGTGATTTTATAACCACTAAAAGACTAAGGGAAGACATAGTGGCTGCTTTCCAGTCTGAAGGTTATCTTTGAATAAGATAGTTAATTTATCTCCATTCCTAGGGAGGAAGAAGAAACAAATAATTGAGGAAGGTACAAGGAAAGGAACAAGTCATACTGACCAATGATGAATGGGCACCTGGAAAGAAATGTTCATCACTTTAATGTAGTTTTGGAGCTGAAGTTGGATCTAGTTATTTGCATTCTTTAAGGTCCAGTTCCAATGTTACTACCTCTCTGAAGTCTCATTCTTTCTGCAAAATGTTTCCTTTCTCATTTCCCCAGCACCACATACAGGAACTGGATAACAGTGGGTGCTTAGTAAGTGCTGGGTGAAGGAATGGAGCTGGGTAGTGGACCGCACTGTGTTCTTAGATAACAAAGCATCCAATCACAGAACTAAGAACAGTCTACTGTATTCCCTCCATTGCGCTATTTTTCAAATCCTGCCTTGAGTAGCTAACTTAAAGGAGAAAATTGTTCTAAATTATATAAGAATAAACGACTTTTTAAGCTGATTATACCTAGAAAAGCATCTCTCCCTTTAATTTGAATTTTTATTCATAGATATAGTTCATATTAAGCAAGATAGCTTTGTTCACTGGAGAACATTTTGAAATTTTTAGAATGATCACCAAGATATCATCTCATGAGGATTTTAGGTGACAATGAAAGAAATAATTATTTTCAATGTTGGACGTTTTTATTTTTTTTTTAAAGAAATAAAATAAATGAAAATGATGCTATCAAAGTTTTGAAAAGTTGCCTTTTCTCCTGTAGCAATAGATCTTGAGATGTAGTAGGTTGAATGTCACTGAGTAATATCCCTCTTTGTTATTGTGTTCGATCTAGGCTGATTCAAAAGTCATTGAGAAGTGGATGGATGGTGTGAAAGACTTCTTAATGAAAGAGCAGGCTGTCCAAGGAGATGCCGAAGGGCTACAAAGACAGCTTGACCAATGCTCTGTGAGTTCTGCTGAGCTGGGGAATCTGCTATAATAAATAAAATTTTCTTCTTCATCTTTATTATTTGCTGCTTTTATTAAAATTGTAAGAATATGGCATGACAATAAACCTAGATAAAACATGTTTCAATATAAACCTGTTTTTTGACTTTATAACTAGTCAAAGAATGACTTATAATTCACATTTCTATTTTTGGCTGTGATTATAAAGTTTTTAAAAAATTATTTATTTTATATTGGAACATAGTTGCAGCAAAGTGATTCAGTTACACATGTATCTGTTTCTTTTTCAGATTCTTTTCCCACATAGGTTATTGCAGAATAAATTTTGGATGGAGAACACAAGAGCAATTTTAGTTCATTAGTAGCTGCTGTTTTATGTTGCAGTGACAGTCTTAGTGTCATAACTACCAATTGTATATCGTTCTCACTGTACTTATGGTGAGACTTTAAGAAAAACACTTTTTACAAATGAAGTTTGCCAGTAATACTTCATGCATTTTATATTTGGTGGAATCATTAGGCTTCTGTAAATTAATTAAAAGTACTATTCCCAGCTGAGAGTCAAGTATTTGCAGTCTAATTTGTCAGATGGCTATTTGAATCATTCAGGTGAAATGAATTTCTTAAGACACAATATTTCTTAAGTCGTTAAACGTCTTGACTCCCAAGCAGTCTGTTCTTAAAATATTTGCAGAGATAGAGGCAGACAGACTATAATAATGGCATCCACTTATGTCGGAATGGACTCAACAAGGGCTTATTTTATGTGTTCAGGCATTTGTTAATGAAATAGAAACAATCGAATCGTCTCTGAAAGACATGAAAGAAATAGAGGCTAACCTTCGAAGCTGTCCAGTTGCTGGAATCAAAGCCTGGATGCAAACAAAACTAGTTGACTGCCAATCACAACTGGAGAAATTTAGCAAGGAGGTAAGGTTTTCAGCTTAACCTGCATATGAATTTCAAGAGGTAGATAATGGCTTCTCTTGACTGAATAATTTTATATCCCATCCAGACTGAAAACCAGTGATCTAGAATAACTATAGCATGGGTGGCAGGTTGGGGCAAGAATTGGATAACCTTTTTTTTTTTTTGGATAACTTTTTAAATGAAGGGTGGGTACTGTTGTCCACTCTGCCCCTGGATGGGAATGAGCTTGATGTGTGCAATAAAGAATAAGAAAGTCATTGTAGCTGGAATAGAATGCAGGGAAGAGTTAGCAGGTTGGAGGGAAGGATTTGGGGTCAGGAGGTAAGTAGAGAAGGGTTGTGTATTGCTTTTGAGGCATAGGTTTTGAATTTTATTTCAAGTATGATTTCACTTAGAAAGCAGAGGGTTTTGAGCAATGAATTGACATATGATAGATCCGTTAAGGCTTCCCTGGTGGCTTAGACGGTAAAGCATCTGCCTGCAATGCAGGAGACCCAGGTTTGATCCCTGGGTTGGGAAGATCCCCTGGGGAAGGAAATGGCAACCCATTCCAGTACTCTTGTCTGGAAAATCCCATGGACGGAGGAGCCTCGGAGGCTGCAGTCCATGGGGTCGCAAAGAGTTGGACACGATCACTCTTGCTTCTATGTGGATAATTTAAAATCACACTGCATAATGTTGAGGAGAGGAAAGGAGATGAGGTCCTGGGGCAAGGGTAACCAGCTTTGAGAATTTCTCTATTCAGGGGAACAGGGAAATGAGATTTGAATACTAGAAGGGACATGGGGATCCAAAGAACTGTTTTTGTAATTATTTTTTTTCAAAGATATTAATGAAAGTTTGCATGCCAAAAAAGATTTCCCTTAGAAAGATATGATACAGGAGACTGAGAGAGATAATGACGGAAACAAAGTCTGTGGTTAGGCAAGAGTGGATGAGGTCCACCCTTTAAGTGAAAGAGCTCCTGTGAGGAGGTCCCTCTGTGGTAATGGATGGGGCAGCAACTGTGGGTACTGTAGGAATATGGTGTAGTAGTTTTGTTTTAATTGTTCTGTTTTGTTAGTGAAGTAATAGTGAGGTTGCATAGAGCTGAAGTGAGTGAGAAGGAATAAAAGAATGAGAAGAGAAAGTGTGAAATGCAGGAATACTCTATAGACAGTCACATAGGTAGTATATATCTCTCAATACAGTGCTTTTTTGTTTAATGTTTATACAAGAAAACTTTATATTTACATCCCTGAGTATTTGTTTTCCCACAGTTTGCTTATTTTGAACAAGCTGAATTTTAAAGAAAAGTTAAAATTATGGTTGAGGGAACAGCCATAAACCATTCCTAAATTTGACAATTGTTAGTGTTTTACTGCGTTTGCCTATTCTCTTTCTCCCCCACCTCTTTACATCTATATATGTACACACCACCCACGCATATGCCTTTTTTTTTTGCTACATGTAGTTTTGACAGGAAGTTGAAAGTATTTTGACACTTCATTCTTAAATACTTCAGCATGCTTCTTCCATGAATGAGGACAGTCTTCTACAAAAGTGCAATATCATTGTCACACTTAAGAAAATGTTTTCATAATATCATCTTGTATTCTAGTCAAATTCAGACTCCTCTAAATGTTTTATAATTTGATGATATGTGCTTAAAAGGAGCTGGGGTATTTTTGGGAAGTAAATAAGGAAAATGATTTGGAAGTGATGATGAGAAGCAAGGAAGACAAGAGATAGATGGGATAGATAGATAGAGCCTTAGATACATGTAGATATTTAGATCTATTAATCTGTTGATAGATATGTATCTATCTATGTATCTATGAGAGCAGAAGGAGAAGAGGGCATCAGAGGATGAGATGGCTGGATGGCATCACCAATGCAATGGACATGAACTTGGGCAAACTTCGGGAGATGGTGAGGGACAGAGGCCTGGCATGCTGCAGTCCATGGGGTCTCAAAAGCGTCAGACACAACTGTGCGACTTAATAGCAATAACATCTGTCTACATATATACATACATACACAAATGACAACATGGAATTAATTGTGAATTGCTATTGACTCAAAGTATGGGAATAAAATCACAGGAAAATTTTTTAAGTGTCTCCAGCAAGGAGGCAACCACGTGCTGTGTGAGTAATTATGTAAAGCAATTCTAAACTATTGTATTTCATTGAGTAGTAAAAAGGTTGAAGAAATTTTGGACAAACATCATGTTGCAAAATTTTTATTTTTCTAAGGAAGGACAGACATATAAAATCAACAAATAAAAACAGTCTGTTATATTCCCAATCTCATGAAAGAAAAAAGCATCTTAATGCCAAAATATAGGAAGTGTATAGTCTTGGAATAATTAATGATAACTTTGAGTTTTTCTTTTTTTGAGAAGTTTGCTGCAGTGTCTTTATCTTTCTTCTCTGAGGCTCCATGAAAATTGTATGTGACTGACTAGTGTTTAGAAACTACTTGTGAAAATAATTTGGGGAATGTGGGTCCCCGAGATCTGTGTTTCCTTTTTTTAAAGTGTTGATCGGCAGGGCTGTGTGGCTTGCTGGCAGTAGGCTTTCTGAGTTCCATGTTGGGCAGTGAAATCCAAGCCCCTGTTTAGTGCCCGTCTATTTTTATGACCATGACCCTGTTTGGACAGTGGAACAGGAAGGCCAGTAAGTATTCCCACTTATTCTCATGAGAGCCGTCGTATTCCTATACTGCCCTTCACAGCCAAGCAAACCCTGGCAAGGTGACCATACCGTGAGATTTCATTTGAGCGGGAGGTTGAATAGTGAAGTGAGCCCTGGATGATCTACATGGTATATCTTCTTTCACAGTAGAAGTCAGAGTGTGGTTAGAGGGAGGATCTCTCTGAAGGGTGTTTTCAGGCCCCCTGAAATAGTTGACAAAGTTATTGAACCAGATTCAGACAAATAACCTATTTTCTAATGTAACTTTTTTGTAGCTGTGTGGAATATACCAATAGAGGAGGTTATCAAAACCAAAGTTTTGTAAAGCAGTGTTTTATGAATATCTTTAGTAGTAGTCGCCTCTCCTCTATTTTTTAAATTAGTTTTTTACTCATTTAGTTTTGGCTGTGCCGAATCTTCGTGGCTGCAGGTTTTCTCTAGTTGCGGAGAGCAGGGACTTCTCTCTGGTTGCAGTGCGTGGGCTTTTCATTGCAGTGGCTTCTCTTGTTGCAGAGCACGGGCCCTAGTGGTGTGGACTTCAGTGTTTATGGCGCGTGCATATCAGCCCTCAGTAGATGGGGCACATGGGCTTAGCTGCCCTGCGGCATGTGGAATTTTCCCAGACTGGGAGTGGAACCTGTGACTCCTGCATTAGCAGGCACATTCTTAACCACTGGAGTGCCAGTGAATTCCATCTTCTCTGTTTTCTAAAAATGCACTTTTAGTGGGGAATCCTGTGAAGAAGGAGAAAATGGACATTTTGGCTGCTTCAGTTAATAGATTTCCTTGAGATATATGCTTTTATTGATGTAAGTGAGAGCATTACTCTTATGCATCTTCAAAATTATACTAGATATTTCCATATTAATGTCCAAAATGTGATACTGAATCCCAGTTATAATTGTTGTTTTCATTATTGCTTATATTCCACAGCATCAGGACCAAATGTAATCAGGGCTTCATCTGACTTTTAAATCTTGAGATTCTTGGTGGAAAGTTGTTACTCTGTCTTTAGATATTAAAAACTAGAAGTTGACACTTGATGTATTAATATTTGTTTATTCGAGCGAATGACTTTTCCTTTGTAGATCGCTATTAAAAAAAATAGGTTGTCTGAAAGTCAGGAAAAAGTGGTGAACCTGAAAAAAGACTTGGCAGAGATGCAGGAATGGATGACCCAGGCAGAAGAGGACTACCTGGAGAGGGACTTTGAATACAAGTCACCAGAAGAACTTGAGAGTGCTGTGGAAGAGATGAAGGTGAGCCTGGGACAGTTAGGGCCAAGGCGCTTCATATCTCATCTCCTCTGTCTAGAACCAGTCAGTCAGTCATCTCCCTAGCCTGAAAAGGTAGTATGTACATAAAATCTCTCACAGGAAAATTTCAATTTAAAACAAGTAGAAGGGCAGCTACCATTAATGATTTGGGTAGGGATAGGAAGCTGAGACTCATGTGTTGAACTTAGGCCATGAGTTGAGTCCATGAGGGCCCCTGAGAAAGTCTTCTGTATTAGAATTTTGAGGAGCTGCAGAGAATGACTCATTTACTGGCATCAGTTTTATATTCACAATGTTGTACAACCATCACCACTGTTCATTTCCAAATATTTTCAGGAAGAATTATTTTTCATAAAGAGCAAGCGAGAATTACCCGTTTCGGTTGGGAGCTATCTTTATTTCACCAGCCGTATTCTTCCAGCTAATTCATAGGGCACACATGAATACCAACCATTTTACTGGGGCAGGTAAGAGTAGTCATAGGAATATTGTCAAGGGATTCAATGTCAGTTGGGTCCACAGGATGTATTTCTTGTTAACTTTTATTCCTGTGTCAATGGTCTTGCACAGTCTCTTTTTTGTATATATGAAAAGAACTGGATATCATTCCCACGTTTTTAACACTGTTTTTACTGTCCTTTAGTGTTGAAGCCAAAGGACAAAGTGTCTTGAAAGCTACTTTTTAAAAAAAATGTGTTGCAACTTGCCTATAACAAAAGCAAAAAGTCTCTATACAGAGAGTTTTTAAAAGGATTGTATTTTACCAATGCAAGGGAAAGGCTACCCACTCCAGTATTCTGGCCTGGAGAATTCCATGGACTGTATAATCCATGGGGTAGCAAAGAGTCGGACACGACTGAGCAACTTTCACTTCACTTCACATAATTGCTTTACAATGTTGTATTCATTTCTACTGTTGTAGTTAGCCCTCTTATTTCACAAAGTACTCTCTGTTCCAACTAGGTAGTTAGAATCATCTGCATGTTTTAGTTTGGGTTTGGTTATTTTTTTGAAGAAGAAATTGGTTATGGAGACAGGGAGCTGATTTTTAAGTTCATCCTGTGTTGGAACAGAGGGCGAAAGAGGACGTGCTGCAGAAGGAGGTGCGAGTGAAGATTCTCAAGGACAGCATCAAGTTATTAGCTGCAAAAGTGCCCTCTGGTGGCCAGGAGCTGACATCCGAGCTGAATGTCGTGCTGGAGAATTACCAGCTTCTCTGTAATAGAATTCGAGGAAAGTGCCACACCCTGGAGGTATGGGATCTTTTCTCTGATGCCTTTCTGAGATTCAAACTCTGTACTGTACTGGCTGTTTCCGTATCTTGGAAAAAAAAAAACCCTCCGTTTTTCTTTTCAAATACAGTGTCATTAAAGTAGTTCTTTAATAATTGAGATACTGATTGGAGATAATAATAGTTACAATATATTATTAGATGATAATTTAGGCAATAGGTTGATAAGAATGAAACAGAGAAAAGAAAATTGGATATAAGGATCTGACTGCAGTTCGTGGAAGGTTCTTAGAAAAGTTGCTTCTTAGCTTTAGGCATTGACTAAATGTGAAATCAAGGTTTTCATAATACTGATGATCTGTAGGGTCTGTTCCCATTCTGAAATTCTAAAACAATGTAGACTGAGTACTTCCTCTTTTTTTTTTGCCTGGTAATACACAGAGATGAACTGAGATTTCTTTTTTACAATGGTGTCTAAATTTATAAATGAAGAATCAACCATTAGCGTAGTTGTTAGGAGAAGTACTTTAAACTTGAAAGAAATGTGCCTTATATGTGGCTGACCATCATAATAGTTAGTTAAACTTCTTGACATCCTGCATTTAAGGTTATTTTTATGAGCCAAAGATTTCATAGGTTAATTTTTAAAATATTTTTTGGAAATTACAGTTTGTATCTGCTTGATATGTGTAATTGTTAAAAAGGTATACATGTGTCATTTTAAAATTCCAGAATGATAGTGTAATACTTAATGTTATACCTTCCCACTTATATTTTATTAAAAGAAAGTATAGATAGGTGGTGATGACCTTGGCTTTCCAGACGGTACAGTGGTAAAGAATCCACCTGCTAGTTTAGGAGATGCTGGTTCAATCCCTGGGTCAGGAAGATTCCCTGGAGTAGGAAAAAGCAACCCACTCCAGTTTTGACTGGAAAATTCCATGGACAGAGGAGCCTAGCAGGCTACAGTCCATGGGGTCTCAAAGAGTTGGATGTGACTGAGTAACTAAGCACTGAAATTATAGGTTTTACTTAGAGTGAAGGAAATACTAACTTGAATGTGCTGGTATTTTGCTGGACCATTTCCTGTATCCTGGCCATTGGGTTTAAGACGTAGATGATTCTGTGAATTTTTTTTTTTTAATATTAAGTGTTTGCTCGTTTGTTTTTATATGTGTGAATTTTGTTACATCTCATTGAAAAGACTGAAGAAGCTCTTCAATTTATAGCAATTTAATTTAAATTCAGTTCAACCTAAAACAAATGATCATATTGTGATAAATCCTAAAATGTCACTGACGATTGCAAACTATAAAGTAAATTCACTCATTAGTCACTCGTTCTGGATCTCCTTTGTGCTAAGATATGTGCTGTGCACTTCGTTGCTCACTGGTGTCTGGCTCTTTGTGACCCCATGGACTGTAGCCTGCCAGTCTCCTCTGTCCATGGAATTCTCCAGGCAAGAATACTGGAATGGGTTGCCATGCCCTCCTCCGGAGGATCTTCCAAACCCAGGGAATGAACCCAGGTCTCCCACATTGCAGGCAGATTCTTTACTGTCTGAGCCAGCAGAGAAGACCTGTGCTAAGATAAACTGTGTATAATTTGGATTACAAGTCACACTAAGGAAGCTGCAAGTCAAACGCTAACTCATTCTTTAGTAGTAAGATATTGTCTAACATGAAACACCTGAGGTTACTCAGCTGAGAATCTAAAATTCTTGAACATGTATGTAACATTATGTATGGCTAATCTTAAGTCCCAGTGGATGATCCTGGAATTGAATTCTACTACAGTCTTGTCTTTTCTGTCCCAACCACTCATGATTTTGCTTTTATTTCTTTGTTTTCCTATTTGTTTATAGCCAAAATAGCTACTCATAGCTATTATGTTTAAATAATAGGGTCCCAGGGTATCCCAAGCTAATGAAAGACCACAATAAATTCTGTGTCATTTCTTCACAGTGTCTTTATCACCCAGAGGTGACAGTTTGAGAATGAAGAATGAAAATATTTCAAGGTTTTAGTATTGCTTTGAGAAATACTTTTAGAATTATTTTGGAATTAATTTGAGAGAATTAGTTTAAGAGAATAAAGGAAAAGTGTAAGAAAGCAATATAGATAAAAGAGAAAAGATGACACCTTGGTATCTTTGAACAGAAAAGTGGCAGGAACAAAGAGATTTGAATGCAAGCACTCAGAATTATGGACCTTGGGTAGAAACAGCCCAAACTTCTAAATTAGAGTAAGGATGCTTTTCTTCTGAAGAGTCCAACTTTGTTACCTTGATTATTTCTATATGCCTTTAAAGTGTTTTAAATTATGAAGTATTACAAACTTCTTGAAGAGTATAGATGATATTATTAACACCCGTAAATATGTCCCTCAGATATAGCTGTTAACATTTTCCCATATTTTTCCAGATCTTGTTTTTAAAATAGAATCCATTGGCATTACAGAACCTGTTCCCTTCTTTCCCATCCCATCCCATCTCTTGATCCCTCTCTTGAAGTAACTGTTATCCAGAAGATGGTATTTAATCTTCCAAACATGTTTTTATATTTTTAGTGTGTACTCTCGAGTTTCAGTTATTCATGGCTGTATAACAAAGCTCCCCCAAATGTAATAGGTTGCTAAGCAACCATTTATCAATTTTTATGGTTTTGTGGGATGATTTGGCTGAGCTGGGTGGCTCTTCTGCTCCATGTGGTTTATGGATGTTCCACTCGGGTTGCTGCTGCGTTCAAGTGGGAGCTCAGCTGAAACTCCTCCAGGTCTCTCTCCACCAGTTTTGTGACTTTTCTACAGCAGATTTCTTTCTTTCTTTTTAAATATTTATTTATTTGGCTGTGTCAGGTCTTTGTTACATCATGCGGGGTCTTTGGCTGTGGCATGAGAACTCTTAATTGCTGCATGTGGGATCTAGTTCCCTGACCAGGGATCGAACCCAGCACCCTTGCATTGGGAGCACAGAGTTTTAGCCAGTGGACCACCAGGGAAGTCCCTCAGCTGAGTAGATCTCTCAGCCTGCTTCCTGCCTATAGCAATTTGGGGGACAAGATACCTCTTTTCCCTTCCAGTCTTAGCCAGGAGTTGGCAGATTATAGCCTAAAGGTCAAATCTGCTTTGTGGCTGTTTTTGTATGGCCCAGGAGCTAAAAATTGTTTGCATATTTTTAAAGTGTTGTTAAAAACAAAACAACACACACAGAAAGAATTAACAAAGAAGAATCTGTGGCAGAGACCAAATGTGGTCTGTAAAACCTAGAATATTTACTATCTGGCCTTTTATAGGAAACTGGCTGACNTTAAAGTGTTGTTAAAAACAAAACAACACACACAGAAAGAATTAACAAAGAAGAATCTGTGGCAGAGACCAAATGTGGTCTGTAAAACCTAGAATATTTACTATCTGGCCTTTTATAGGAAACTGGCTGACCCCTGACCTGGTAAGCATATCTCATATGGAGTCCACGCTGAAAAGTGTCCTCTCTCAGTGGGTCTGAAAGAGGACCGATGCAGGAGGCTCCATGCTGAGCTCTGTCTCCTAAATTTGTCAGTCAGACAGGCGTTTCCATGGGGCATGTTCCTCCCATAATTTTACTCTTAGGAACTGGAGGATAAATTCATGCTCTAACACCCAGCTCCCCATAGGAATAGGGAGTCGATCCCAACTAATAGCATTGCTCTTCTTGTTTAGTAACTAAGTTGTTTCCAACTCTTGTGACCCCATGGACTATAGCTTACCTGGCTTCCCTGTCCAGGGGGTTTCCTAGGCAAGAATACTGGAGTGGGTTGCCATTTCCTTCTCTAGGGAATCTTCCCGACCCAGGGATCAAACCCATATCTCTTGGGTCCCATGCATTGGCAGGTGGATTCTTTACCACTAAGCCACCTGGGAAGCAGCTAATATAGTAAGCATATTTTGGATAAAATATTTTTTGGATATATTTGGATATCCAAAATAATATTTGGATAAATATGGTTCTCTGCATATACTGACACATTCATATGAATTTAGAAAAAAGTTGGAAAAAGTCTGTATAGGAGCAGGGTAGTCCCCAGGGAATTCTCATTTCCTATATAGTTGTTAAAAAGAGTTACAAGTCTGAGTATTTTTTTTTTAACTTTCTATAAAAAAACATAATAATAATGTTTCCCTCCTGGCTTCTTCTACTAATTACATAATTTTATTTTTGGCATTTAAACAGACCCTTGGAATTTATCTTAGGGTAAAAAGATGAGGCAGCTGATTGCTCTTTGCCTCCTACCTTCCTCCATTTGGGCTCCTCTTGTGACTCAGATGGTAAAGAATCTACCAGCAATGCAGGAGACTCGGGTTTGATCCCTGGGTCTGGAAGATTCCCTGGAATAGGAAAGGGCTACCCTCTCCACTATTCTTGCCTGGAGCNGATGAGGCAGCTGATTGCTGTTTGCCTCCTACCTTCCTCCATTTGGGCTCCTCTTGTGACTCAGATGGTAAAGAATCTACCAGCAATGCAGGAGACTCGGGTTTGATCCCTGGGTCTGGAAGATTCCCTGGAATAGGAAAGGGCTACCCTCTCCACTATTCTTGCCTGGAGCATTCCGTGGACAGAAGAGCCTGGCACGCTACAGTCCATGCAGTCACAAAGAGTCAGACACATCTGAGGGACTGACTTACTTTCCCTCTAACTGGTCTAATAGAATTAATTGAAGAATTTGATTTTATTCCACTTATTTGAAATTCCAGCTTCATCAGTTTCTCAATGCCCATTTGTACTCATATCTAAATGAAGTTTTTCTTGATTATAGAGACTGTGCAGTCGTAGAGATGCACTGTATCTCTCAATGGCTCTGTGTCTTGTCTAACTTTTTCCCACCTGTTTTAGGAGGTATGGTCTTGTTGGATTGAACTGCTTCACTATTTGGATCTTGAGACCACCTGGCTAAACACTTTGGAAGAGCGCATGAAAAGCACAGAAGCCCTGCCTGAGAAGACAGAAGCTGTCAACGAAGCCCTGGAGGTAGGAGCCTGCATTCTGAGTGGAGCTTTTTGTTGCAGTGAGGCTGAAAGAGAATTCAAATGAGGAACATAATGCTTTATGCCGGCAAACGCTTTTGCTTCCTCCGTGGTTTTCCGTGTAACTTGTGTTTTCTTGCATTGCCTGAAATATTCATACCATCATATATTTAGATTATTGGTGACCTACTAACTCAGCCTCATGAGATGGTTAGTTGTTTTCTGATTAGTACATTTTAGACACCATAAAGCACTCTAGTGATTCTCCAGATTGTTTTTACCAGTCCCTGGATAAAACTCTGCCTTATGTTATTAGGACAATTGCTCTCTTGTTTCTTCATAAAGTTATTTTTGCTCCTTAGACATGGCAAGGGGCCCCTGTATTTACAGTGCCTCCTACTCTGTTTTCTTCAGATGTGGAAAGTTGGAGGACAGATTGAAAACGGCAGTGTTAGAGGCCTGGGATCCTGTCCCCATGCCGGGATGTGAGCTCCTTGAGGCCGAGAAATGTGCCTGAATTTTCTGTTGTTCCCCAGTTACCAGCACAGCCTGTGGCACATGATAACTTAGTAGCTCTTTCTTAGGTGGAATAAAGTGTGGAGAGAATAGATTTTCTTAGAAGATTGTAGCTATGCTTTTAAAACTGTAAGAACGGAAGGTGATGAAGTGATTAAGAAGATGACTAGATTCAAGGTCAGAAGTAGGTCAGATGTGGCATCTGAATTCTAGGAACCGCATGCCCTGCTGGAGAGAAGGTGTCATTTCTCAGATAAAATAGTAGAGGTCAGAGATTGAATCTATTAAGGAAAATATCAAAGCTTATTTTAAAAACACATACTACCCTAACATGAGAGTTAAAACATTTAGTTCCATTCTAAAAATATGGAACATGGAGAAAAGTATAAAGTCAAGTCTAAGCTAACACTTTAAAACATTTTAGTGTACTTCTTTAGAATTATTTTTCTTATTATTTTTACGTCTACATGCTGAAAGGTAGTGCTTTTAGTGACGGAATCAAAGGCTTTGGAGCTTAGGAGCCAAGTTGGCATCTTAGCTCTTCATTTAACTGTGTGTATGTTGGCAAATTACTTAATATCTCTGAGCTTTAGTTTTCCCATCTGTAGTATGAAAATAGTTTTTGGCCTGATGATTAGATTTATTATGTGTGTATGTGTGTGTGTGTGTATGTATATAAATTGGAGGTGAAAATGGCAACCCACTCCAGTATCCTTGCCTGGAGAAGTCCATGGACAGAGGAGCCTGTTGGGCTACAGTTCACGGGGTTGCAAAGAGTCAGACACAACTGAGTGACTAACACACACACATGTATATATATGTGTGTGTGTATAAAACAGTGCCTTGCATTTTATATATGTTGTAGAAAAATAAGAACCTATTTTTAATAATGTAATTATTTGAAATAATGCTATTTGTATAATAATTGTTTTTTGTTTTTAAACTTTGAATCATACCATGAACACTTCTTTATGTATATGGAAATTATTTTTATGGAATTATATCATCATTCATGTGGAATTCTCAATTTTATTTATTTTATCTAATTATTTATGATCTTGTTCCTTTGATAGATTTCTAGAAGGCAGAATTATTTGTTTAAAAAAATGAGCAATTTTGTTTTTTCTTCCAATTTTATTGAGATACAACTGGCATATAATATTGTGTAAGTTTAAGATGTACAGTGTATTGAGTTGATACACTCATATATTGAAAAATGATTACCACAACAGGGTTAGTTAAATCTCTATTGCTTTACATAATTACCATTTATTTTTTGTGGTGAAAACCTTTAAGATCTACTGTCTTAGCAACTTTCAAATATATAGTACTGTTAACTATAATCACCATGCTATATACTACAAATTCAGAATTTATTCATTTTATAGTTGGAGATGTTTACCATTTGGCCAACTTCTCCCCGTTTCCTCCACATTCCACCCCCACCAGTGCCTGTTAACCAATCTACTCTGTTTCCATGAATTTGACTTTTTTAAGATTCTACGTATATGTGATATCATACAGTGCTTGTCTTAAAAAAGTGAACAATTTTAAGATCGTTGATATATTTTGCCTTGGTAAATGCATTATTTTTTTTTTCTCTGTCCAGTCTTTAGAATCTGTTTTGCGACATCCAGCAGACAATCGCACCCAGATTCGGGAACTTGGCCAGACTCTGATTGATGGAGGAATCCTCGATGACATAATCAGTGAGAAACTGGAAGCTTTCAACAGTCGATATGAAGACCTCAGTCATCTGGTAAGAACTGAGCCATGCTTGAGTGTTGGTTAAATGTTTATGATATGGAGCTGACCTCAAAAACTTACACCAAGGGGAAAAGTTGGTAACCAGTGGGGATGTTGAGGACATTGAAATACTAGGTGGGGAGGAGTAGACTTTATCAGGCAGGCAGAACTTGATGATTAAAAGGTTTTTATTTTTGTGATTGTTGCTATCTGTGAACTATTTAATTTTCTTTAAAGATTATACTACAGTTGTATATAAAAATAATAACTCATATTATCCTAGTAAACATTAGAGCCATTCATTGTCTCTTAGATATATACTCAGAATGTATCAAACATGCCTGTTCATATCAGTAAGCAGAGAAAGGAGACTGTTTTTATAGAAGGGATAAGTGTGTATTAGACATTTTTAGATACATCTTAAAAAATAACTGTTGATGATTAGATCATGAATAGCTTCAAACTTAACCCCAAAGTGCAACAAATAGTGGTTCAATACTATGTACATCTGTAGAACTTTTTTAAACTTTAGAAAGAGATTTATGTATCCACTCTATTTATAGATGTTCTGTTATATTTTATATTTTTGTTTATAGGCTTATTATTGAGTCCTAAAATTGCCCTAAATTTGTAATAAATGACATATTTTTATTTATTTTAGTATGTTATGTAAGAAGTCTTTACATTTTTCCCTTTTTTATTGAGGTATAATTGATATGACATTTATTAGTTTCAGGTGTACAACATAATGATCTGATTTTTGCATACACTAGAAAATAATTACCACTAGAAGACTAGTTAACCTCTGGTATGATACACAGTTACAGTTTTTTTTTTCTTGTGATGGGGATTTCTGAAATCTAATCTCTCAACACAGTATTGTTAACTATAACCATCATGCCTTACATCACTTCTGCATGATTTATATATTTAATTTATAACTAGAAGCTTGTAACTTTTGACCCTCATCACCCACTTTGCCCACTCCCAGCCCCTAGCCTGTGGCAACCACCAATTCTCTGTTTCTGTTAACTTGGTGTTCCTTTTTGTCTTTTTCTTATTTTTGTTATATTTTAGATTCTCTATATAAGTGAGGTCGTACCGTATTTGTCCTTTACCCTCTGACTTGTTTCACTTAACATAGTGCCTGCAAGAGCATTTTCCTATTTTGTTATGTTACGTATACAGAAAGAAATAATTTCCTGCAAGATGCATAAGGTATTAGAAGGACAATTTCACTGTTATTGCTAATTATTATTTATAGTGCAGGCCAAAGTCTTGAAGTAGTGCTTTTATAGTTTGCTGTTTTTCTTGGTGGTTAGAACATAAGGGTTTTCTTATATTCAGCCATTTCTGTTTGTCCTGAGAGACTAATGATTACATTTCCCCTCCTGTAGGCAGAGAGCAAGCAGATTTCTTTGGAAAAGCAACTCCAGGTCCTGCGGGAAACTGACCACATGCTTCAGGTCTTGCAGGAGAGTTTAGGGGAGCTGGACAAGCAGCTCACAACGTACTTGACTGACAGGGTAGATGCCTTCCAAGTTCCGCAGGAAGCTCAGGTACTGCCAGGGATGTGAGGGTGTTCTGCTCATAAAGGGAGCGTCTGTAATCATTTCCTCACCTGCACGGTCTCCAGCCCTGCCCACCATTCAACCCAGAATCAATGAGAGAGGCTGACCTTACTTACAGGGCAGCATGTGGGTTTGGGGGTTCTCATAGTTTTTATATGAGGTCCTAGTGAATGGCCACCATTTAAAAATTCTAATTTTCTTAGCTATGAAATTGGGAAGATTCTGTCTTTGTAAATAAGTGGTGAGCATTCGAAATGACCAGTGCAAAGACCGTGCACCATGCACAGAGTCCTGCAATATGTGTGGCCATATTGTTATTATCCTGGAGGAGGAAATGGCAGACCACTCCAGTATTCTTGCCTGGAAAATCCCATGGACAGCAGAACCTGGCAGGTTACAGTCCATAGGGTCACAAAGAGTTGGACACCACTGAGCGACTGAGGATACACACACATTATTCTTATGCTGCATGCTGATTGAAGCTTGTATTTTACCTCTTGTATGACTCTATGAAACTTAAAAAAGACATTCTCTCCCTTTTGTAATCTCTCTGTAGAAAATCCAAGCAGAGATCTCAGCCCATGAGCTGACTCTAGAGGAGTTGAGAAGAAGTACGAGGTCTCCACCCCCGACCTCCCCAGAGGGCCGGACTGCCAGGGGAGGAAGTCAGATGGATGTGCTGCAGGTGAGGAGGGGGAGCAGCTTCCTTTTACTTCTCAGTGTGTTGGGCATAAAAAGAAAATGAGAAAGAGCTGAAGACTTGGATGCCTTTGGTCTTCTCTGTGATGTGAAGAGGGGGCTGGGAGTGATGTGTTGAAGGAACCCTGCATCCTAAGGTGGGCAGCAGAAACAAATTGTTGTCTGGGTGGAAACTATTGGATCTGAATTTTCTAGTTGAGAAGACAGAGCAATCTCGATCTAGAAGTTCACTTTGTATAGGTCTTTCAATTGACTAGAACCTCCATCAGTACAGGCTTCCCTAAAGGCTCAGTGATAAAGAATCTGCCTGCGAATACAGGAGACGCAGGAGACATGGGTGTGATCCCTGGGTTGGGAAGATCCCCTGGAGAAGGAAATGGCAACCCACTCCAATATTCTTGCCTGGAAAATTTCATGGACAGAGGAGCCTGGTGGGCTACAGTCCATGGGGTCGCAGAGAGCTGAACACGACTATATGCATGCACTCCATCAGGACTGCTGTGGCTGGTACACTGGGCCGGCTGAGTCCATGGGACACAGTACGACTTAGTCTGTGATGGAAGAAGCAGACTGACTTTCACTTTGATTTTGTGTTGAAGGGCATTATGATTTCTAGTTTTCTGAACTGTGTTTTGCAGACAGATGAGAAAATTAACGTGGTTTTCATTCCAGTGAGGCTAGCCTAGCCTTTCATTATATTTCAGATTGAGACCCTGAGTGTCAAGGAATTCATGACACTGGGCTGCACAGTTCCCTAAGATGATCAGGCAACCTCACAGATTTCTGTTAAGGAATATTTTTATTGTTCCTTTATTCTACCCCTTCGTGAAGTATGTGTTATGCTAATATTCTCTGCTGAGAGAGATGATCATTCAAATGTGAATTATTATTTTCATTTTTGCCAACAGAGAAAACTTCGAGAGGTGTCCACAAAGTTCCAGCTTTTTCAGAAGCCTGCTAACTTTGAGCAGCGCATGCTTGACTGCAAGCGCGTGCTTGATGGTGTGAAAGCAGAGCTTCATGTCCTGGACGTGAGGGATGTGGACCCTGATGTCATACAGACCCACCTGGACAAGTGTATGGTGAGGCCACTGGCTGGCTAATGTGTCCAGTGGGTTTTCCTGTTGCTAACATGGCTTCATCTAGTGCTTATATATATGTTTTGTACCATAGTTGTTAGTCTAAAATGTGCTAAGCATAGGGATACATGATGAAAAACAGGTTAGAAAATTAGAAGTGTGGTCCTTTCCTCCTCGGAAATTAGAAGAGATAGGAGAGAGAGTAAAATCAGAAAAAATCAGTAAAACCAGCAGAGAGTAAAATCAATTAGTACAGTGTAATGAGATAAGGAAACTAGAATAGACATGCATATAACATGATTTAAAAACAAGAGGAAAGCATATCTTAATCACAGTATGAAGTTAGGGAAGACTTTAACAGAATGTGACTAGCCAGCTAAATTTTAAAGGATAAATTTGAGTTAGCTAGAAGAACCAGGAAATGGCAACCCACTCCAGTATTCCTGCCTGGAGAATCCCATGGACAGAGGAGTCTGGCAGGCTATAGTCCATGAGGTCGCAAGAGTCGGACACAACTTAGTAACTAAACCACCACCAGAAGAACCGTACTTAGAGTGAATGTCAGGAATATTGCAATGTACAGCAAATTCTCAAAGAGAGTAAAATTTTAAATTTTAATTTATAAAGTTTAAGCCTAAAGTGTGAAAGGAGAAATTATACGTAGAATAGATGTCAGTGATGTGGTAGCATAAAAATCATTCTCTAGGAAAATAAAATTTTAAGTCAAAGTCTAAACTTAAGATGTAAAAGAATAAATTATTTAAAAGACCTTATTACTTTTTTAGTTTTGAACTTTAAAATTCAGTTGCACAGGAATTTAAAGATCATGTGCCTGAATATTCACAGTCTTAGAATTAGTGTTCTGTTTGAGTAGAGTCATGAGAAAACTGAAGGTGACACGTGTTAAGAAAAGTCTGGGAAGAGTTCTTTGTGCTTTTCAAAATTGCAGTCTCCACATGTCTGTTGCATACTGAAGATTGTTTGATTACTTAAAAACTGGAATGAATGGAAGGATGAACAAATAGGATGAATTTTTATACATAATATGTGTGCATATGCGTGAATGAGTGTACATGTATATTTACTGAGATACAGATATCAACAAAGCAAGCACTGTCCTTGACCTTGAGTCATCCAGTCCAGTGGTCTGTTACTATGTGACTGCGCCACATGACGTGTTTCATGTCAACACTATGATGGATGGAGATAAGAGAACCTGCCCAGGATAAAGCTGTTCAGTTTCAAAGCAGTGAGGATGAGGGCATCTCTGAATTTGACCTGTATAACTTCAGCTTCCTATGGTCATATACATATTGATGCATGGAGCTTTTATATGTCTTTTCATTATGTAACTTAACACGTGCTGCTCTTTGTGGCAGACTTTGTACTTCAGAGAACTGTAAGAAAAAATTGAATCTTAATACTTCCAAATTCCCACAGCCAGAAATAGCCAGCATTAGCTTTTTTCTAGTCACGGCATTTAGGATTTTGAAAAATGTAATTTTAAAAAATGTTGGACGTTCAATTTTTAGTCCTCATGTTTTCCCATTTTATGTAGGAAAAATGTTCATATTATCAAGTACTTTCCTAAGCCTTTAAGATACAGGTTTGAGTCTTTTTTAATAAGACAAGTATAATCTCTATGAGTGTATTTTCTTATCTGAATTTAAAAAATTATTACAACCTTGATCTCATCTTACTCCTTCTTTGAACCAGATCTGAGAGAGATAAAACCCTTTGATCTCCATGGTTAGTTCTTGGCTGTCAATCTTTGTCATCCATGTTCTGAAATGGTTCCAGTTACCACATTTTCACTAATATGTAAAATTTGTCTGGCTTTATTTTTAAGAAACTCTATAAAATTTTGAGTGAAGTCAAGCTTGAAGTGGAGACTGTAATCAAAACAGGAAGGCACATTGTCCAGAAACAGCAAACCGACAATCCCAAGGGGATGGACGAACAGCTGACTTCTCTGAAGGTTCTCTACAACGACCTGGGCGCCCAGGTGAGAGCGCCTCTGTCTCTCTCATCTGTGTATTCTGAAATTTTACTTCTGGGAGAGGAATGCTTATTTGAATTTTATGGCATCGATAATACATGTTTTAATTTATTCCAATACTTTTTATTACATATCTTTAAAAGTGTGTGTTGTCCATGAGGGCNTTTGGCTCAACCTCTTCATTCCTTCTGGAGCTATTTCTCCACTCTCCTCCGGTAGCATATTGACCTTATAGACACCTTATAGACCATATAGACACCTACTCACCTGTGGGATTCATCTTTCAGTACCATATCTTTCTGTCTTTTCACAGAGTATGTTACTATTAAAATGATGAATAGTTACATAGAAATGTATTTTAATGTGTAATCCAGACTAATTTCTATATTTTCAAAGGGTACGGACATTTCATAAGTTATTGTGAGGAAACTCCACAAGTAATAGTCTCGGTAAACACAGGTTATTGGTCCTTGGGTTTCTAGATTGAACAATCCATTGAGAAATGTTAAAAACATTAGGACTCTAATAAATAGTATCAGGAACTTCACATTAATCCAGCAGGATTTAAAATCTTATCCAGAAACATCTATAATTTGGACATTTTGGTGAATTTGTGAGGAAGTTGTTAGGCCCTTTATTGCGAATGACTGACTGAATCCATTAAGCTTAACGTCTTCTCTTATTGAGAATCTCTGCCCTGAAACCAGACAAGCAAAAACAAGATAAAACACAGAAACAAATGAAGTGAAACATTCTCATTAATATTGAAAAGCTGTGTTAGATAATATATTAGACCCTTCTGTGATTATTAAATATTAACCAAATTTCTACACAAGCCCAGAGAATACAAGCTGAAATTTTGTGATCACTTTGAGATTACTAACAGTCATACATTTCCTGGGCAATTTGGATTTCACTTCTGCAAGATCAGATTACTGATGTGATATATTGTATACCATTTTTGATACATTTCACATCTGGAACACGTATGGTAAGAGCTTCTTTTTGTATTATACGGCTGAAGTTATTTGTGAAATATTACTGTATTATTTGGGCTTCCCTGGTAGCTCAGATGGTAAAGAATCTGCCTGCAATACGAGAGACCTGGGTTCAATTTCTGGGTTGGGACGATCCCCTGGAGAAGGGAACAGCTACCCACTCCAGTATTCTGGGGAATTCTATGGACTGTATAGTCCAAGGGGTCACAAAGAATTGGACAAGACTGAGCGACTTTCACTTTCACTGTATTTATTAATTGACAGGGCATTTTATAAATGGTAACAGTGTGGCTGGTTTTTACACCAAATTTCTGTGATTATGGCTTTAGAGTTAAGTCATTTTCTCACTCAACACAACTAAACTTTAATGTGTATGAGGAGTTATACAGGCAGTTAGAGATATAGTGATGAGCAAAAACATGTTATCTCTGCCAAGTGGAACTGTGAGAAATAAAAGAAGAAAGCTTTAATCAAGCAGTCATACAAAGTAATGTCAAATTATCAGCCTAAAGTGTTATGAAGGAATATATGTAGCACTGTAGGAGTATGTGTAAAGAGGGATTTGATCCAGTCTGGGTTAGGAAAGCTTCCCTGAGCAAGTGGTGCATAAGCTGAGATCTGAAGGATGAGTTGTCGTAGTAGCCAGGGTAAAATCAGTGGAAGAATTTTTGAGGCTGATGCAACATCATGTGTAAAGGTCTGTGGCAAGAGGCAGCGTGGTACATTTATTTGTGTGGCTAAAGCAGAGAGAACAAGTGTGGGAACAAGGTTTTGGAGAGATGTGATGATACCAGATCCTACCAGTGTCTTTGAGTTTGTGATAAAGATTTTAATCTCTGTCTCTGGAGTAATGAGCAATTATTGCAGGGCTTTAGCAGGGAGAGAACATGATCAGATATATGTTTTTCTAAAAGGTCACTCACTGCAGTTTGGAGTACATTGCAGACAGGCAAGCATGGATGTAAGAAGACCAGTTAGGAAGTCATTGTCATGCTCTTAGTGAGAAATGATGGTGCTTGAACTAGGGTGGAACATTGGAGATAGTATGAACAGATTTTTTAAATAGATATTTAGGATGTAAAGTGAGCAGGACTTGGTGGAGGGTTTGATGTGGAGATGCAGGAGAGAGATGAAGGAGACTCCTGGGTTTTGGGCTTGATTGAATGGCAGATCACAGTGCCATCACTGGGATGGGACACTTAAAGGCAGAAGCATGGAAAATCATAAACATGTATGGGATATTTGACATTTTAAGTGTCTTTGAGAGAGTTAATTGCATGTGTCAGATATTCACAGTTATTCAAGTCTGGAGAATATATCTGGGATGAAGATATAAATTTTATGAGTCATATGCATAGAGGTGATAATTAAAATTTTCAGTGATGATGAGATTGACTAGGGAGAGGATATATCAATAGTGAAAAAAGAAAAGGTCCTGAATTAGTAAGTTTTGAGGGGTTGCATCACTTATGAGGATATTTGAAGAAGATGAGCTTATAAAAGAAACTATATATGTAAGTATATGTGTGTGTGTGTGTGTGTGTGCGTATGTATATATGTATATCACATTTCTTCATTTATTTATCAGTGGCTATTGTGAATAATGCTGCAGTGAATATGGGAATGCAGATATCTCTTTAAAATAATGATTTCATTTCCTTTGTTATATACCAGAAGTAGGATTGCTGGATGATAGAGCAGCAGTTCTTTTTTAAATGTTTTGAGGGCCCTTCCTATTGTTTTCCATAACTGCAAACTTGACATCTGCTCAGAAAGTAGATCTTAAGTGTTCTCACCACAGAAAAAGGTAACTGTGTGATGATGGACATGTTAATTAACTGTGGTATTCATTTCACAATGTATATGTGTATAAAATGATTACAGTATACACTCTAAAAACGCATATTGTGCAACCATATATTTTATATGCGTGAGAAAGTACATATAAAAAAGTGGTAAGAAGTGGTAGTACCCCAGGAATGTGCTAGGTCTGGGAAGCTGAAGGACGGAGGGGATTTGGAGAATGAGTGTAGGTTTTTGTTTTGAATATTACTGAAATATTAAAAACAAGGCATCCCCTTAAAAGCATACTTTAGATCTTTTGCCATTGGGGTCATCACTGAGCTTAGCAAAGATGATTTCTGTGGAATGATGGAGGTAGAAGCCAGAATGTCATGGCTTGAACACTGTATGGGGGATGACAAATGGTTTTGATAATTTGTATGGGAAAGGTAGGAGAGAGGGAGGGAAGGTGGGGCCAGAGGAGGAAACTTGTGTGTGTGTGTGTGTGTGTGTGTGTGTGTGTGAGAGAGAGAGAGAGAGAGACAGACAGACAGACAGACAGACAGATGCTTGAGTATGTTTCATCCTTGGTGGGAATGATCCTATTGAGAAGGAATGCTTGCATATCCAGGAGGGAGAAGGGATAAGTGGTTAGGTAAAAGATTTACAGCTTGATACTGCCTAATTTAATATGCAGTACATCTTAAAATGTATTGATTAGATCAGCTGAAGAGAGTGTAAATTGTTATAAGTTGAACTGTAAATTATTTTCTTCCTGGTATACCAAAATCTTTGGTAGCATTAAGTTTTATGATGATTGTGTAGTTGCCTGGGCATGTCAGTCAGATAAGTATCGTAATATCTTTTAATATAATTCAAATATTTTTCTCCTGAAGTCTGCCTTGAGGTGCTATTAATTTAGAGTCATGAATTTTAATTAAACTCCACAGGAAAACAATTTCACTTTTAAGAAGGAATTGAATAATAATCAATCTTGGAGACATGCAAGAGTAAAAATAAACTTATAGGATGAGTAAGAAATGCAATTCCGTTTTACTTACTCAGAAAATTTGATTTCTATATCTAAGAAAGTTTATATTATTTTATATCATCTAAAAAATTTCATCCCATACATGACATTTCACTCCACCACTTATAATATTATCATCTATACATACATGCACATAAAAGGAGGAACATGTTTTTGTGTATATATTGTGTTTGACATCCTTTAAAGTATCAGCTCAGCATTAGGTTGTGAATCATTTTAGTCTGAGAGTACCACTGTGTAATGCCAGTGGTCAGACCAGGCTCAGTCTCATGGTCATGCTGCTCTGCTCATGACCTTAACCTTTTTAAGCTTCACTGTCCTGTTCTGTTAAGTGGAAAAAAATAGTTCTGATCACAGGGTTTTATTGTATAACATGCGTAGATTCATTAGTATAATATGAGAGGCTGGTAAATGTCAGTTAAGTTCATTTTGCTTTCTGTCAACAACAGTAAGAACAAAATAGTAATAAAAGTTTGTATTCCATAGCCATTTAATGTATTTTAAATTAAGCGGTTAATTGTGAAACGTATGATTGTAAAAAATCTTACCATTTCTCCTTTATGTTGATGTGTGTTTGTTTTTTAAACAGAATCCCTCATTGAGAGGGTTTAAGACATCTGCTCAAAGTGATGAAAGATGCTATTCATTGATTCCTTAACCTTGTTGAACGGACTGGGGCAAGACCTTTGTGTATATATTTTCCGCACTAAAAACTCATAACAACCTTCTGAGGGCGTATCTCTACCAGGGCCACTTAGGAAGTTAAGTGGTAGAACTAAGATGAAAACTCAGGGTTGCCTGAAACTTAACCACTACAGTATATTGTCTTTCTGCAGAAATGCAAGAATGAAGTGATTCTAGGTGCCAGAGATAAAGGTTAGGTATGTCTTGGGGGTTATGAATCTGTGTGGATCTTTAGTTCATGTTTGTTTCCACTCATGTTCATCTCTCTTGTGCTTTCTTTTTAAGGTGACAGAGGGAAAGCAGGATCTGGAAAGAGCATCCCAGCTGGCTCGGAAAATGAAGAAAGAGGCTGCCGCTCTCTCTGAATGGCTTTCTGTTACCGAAACCGAATTAGTACAGAAATCCACTTCAGAAACTTTGCTTGGTGATTTGGATACAGAAATTTCCTGGGCTAAAGTAAGTTGTAGTTCAGGTGAACCACAAAGATTATCAGTGTAATCTGTGGCATTTTGATCAGAGAAATCTGGGTAGATGTCATTTGTCTCCATTTCATGCTAAATATCGTCTTTTCCTTTTTCCGTTCTTTTTTCCACATCTCTATCCTAAGAATATTAAAAGCAGCTATCTTCAGAAGACACACACACACACACACGCATATATATACAAATAACATATACATATATATATATATATTAAGATAGGGGAAAGATTTGTTGATTGACTGATTTTGGCCACACCTCTCAGCTTGTGGGATCTTGGTTCCCCACCAGGGAATGAACCTGGGTCCTTGACAGTGAAAGTGCAAGAGTCCAAACAACTGGAAAGGAATTCCCCAGAAGATATTTTTATCTCGATTCTGAAAGAGTTAAACTCACATGGCTTATCAACAAGGTTTTTGTAGTCATTATACTTATGTGGTACTTCAACACAGTATAACTATCACCTTCAGCATCAGTGACATTTTTTGAGTATTCATTCTTCACAAAGTATTGTGCTGAATTTATTAATTCTTCTATAGTAAGTTTTGTACCAGTAACTAATCTTTCTATTGCAAGCTAACTGGTGTAGAGAGCAGAGAAACAGAATTTAAAAAAAAAAAATCAATAAAAGATCAAAGAATTTTCTCTAGTCCTATATTTACTTAGAAATCACATAGATTAGAGAGTTGATTTGCCAGTTCTCTCTTTTGAGGTGGACAAAGAATTGAATGAAACACAAAGTAGTTTTTCTTTTTTTTAACCAAGCATTCTCTTTTTCTCAATTCATTTTGTAAGAAGCATGTATACTAGAGATAAATGCTGAAAATAAAGGATCAGTACTGTGACAGAGCTTTATATAAAACCCGAGGTATCAGTTTTGACTTCTACAGGGTCGACTTTTGGGGTGTGAAGAGGAGGTGCTCTGAGGTCATGGGGTGATGCAATCCCTTAATTTGAATGCTCTTTGGAGCTAGCTGTTGTAAGAAAGTCAAGATGTTAGTCACTAGAAAGAATGTTCTCAGTTTAATAGCTTGTGGAATGTGTAATTGCTGTGGGCTGTGTGGAGTAAAAGAGATATATGAAGGAAGTGAAACACACTGAAATTCATGGTTTACAGTGGATGATTGACAAAGGTGCTAAACTTTATTTTTTTCAATTAAAGTTTTTCAAGGAAATATTTTCTTTTTTCTACAATACACTTTGAAAGTCATTATTTTTTACTAGTCCCATGACTCCTATAAGCTAATGGAATGATATTTGCATAGTGTAATACAAAAAAAGAGACAGGAGCAAAAATGATCTTTAATCAAAGAATACCCTGTTATCATTTCAGTTTTTTGTAGGCCCATGTAGACATGCAGGCACAAGCATATATTTTAAAAAGAATTATATTTAGTGTTTCAGGACCTTTTTGAAAAGCAGGTTGTGTCTTTAACATTTTCTTTTATCTACAAGTGTTTTGTGTCACACATTGGAGATAGATAGTATTTCATTGTATATTTTAATTCTTATTGTCCCGTTCCTTCATTCATGTCCGTTGAAATTATTACCAGTTTTCACTATTGTAAAAACTGCTGTGATGAGTATACTTGTGGTTAAATCTTAGCATATATTTATAATTAATTTTCTGAGGATAAATTCTTAGCTCTAAAAATATTGGGTCAAGGGATGTATCCATTTTAAAGTCTATACTGGTTATGAAATTGTCCTTCAGAAATGTTTTACCCAACAGCTGTGAGTGAGAATTTCTACTTGCTTGTTTTAACTAAACTTTTGACAGTGGCAGGCAAATAACATGTCTCGGTAATTTAATTAGAACATTTTCCTTTAGTGTATAGGCCATTTGTAGCTTCCGTCACCATTTGATGTTGTAATTTAGAGATCTTTACCTGTTATAATTATTAATGCTTAATATGTTTTGTATTGATGCAATTTTTTGCCACTCTAGTTTCCTTTCTGTTCTGTATATTTTTAAAACACTTATTATACATTTTTTTTAAAGAATAAATTTTCTTCCCCTAATTATTTCTGCCTTTAGTGTTTAGAAAGGCCAACTTTACAACAAAATTACATAATTATTTACTTATATTCTCTTCTAGCTCTTTTATAGTTTCATCTTTTTTACCTTTAATGCTTTAATCCTTCTGGAATTTAGTTTGGTGTATGTAATGAGGTAAGGCTCTAACCCTTTTCCCCCCAAATATTTTACCAGTTATCTCAGCACTATATGTTGAGTAATTATCCCTTCCTCACTGATTTGACCTGCTCAATTCATGTATTCTTTTTATCTGTTACTTTGCCTTGTTTTCTGCTTCCCTGATCTGACCTTCTGAAAAGTTCTTCAACTATTTAATATGTGGTTCTATAATATACTTTAGCATGTAGTTAATGACAGGATTTCCTGACTTTATGTTCCTTCTTTTGTATATATTCATATGAATTTTAAAATTATTACACTTAAATTCTTAAAAAAATTCTTTTAGAAACTTTGGTTGAATTGCCTTAAATTTATAAATTTGTTTTGACAGGAATTGACATCTTTACTAAATTAAGTCTTTTTAGTAACATGTAAATGTCTCATTTCCTCTCCAAATTCCCTTACATCCCTACATAATGCTTTGTAAACATTACACATATATGCCAAAAAGTTTATTCTTGTGTACTTATTTTATTGGTATACTTTTCTTTTTATTTTAAACCAATTTCTTATAGCTGGTACACAGGCAATATCAATTTTTGCATATTTAATTTTTAATCATCTTTGTGCACTCACATAAATTCAATTAGTTTTTCAGTTGATTCTCATCATTTTTAAGGCAAAGACAGTAAGTAATGATGTTTATTTCTTCTGGAACCATTCACTCTTAAATTCCCACTTAATCTTATTTCAGATTTGAAATAATGAAGATGGTATATACAAATCACAAATTCACAGTACATTTTTATCATTAGAGTAAATCAAATGAAACATCAGTATGTAATATAATCACTCATTTTTTTCAACATTGTATTGTCAGATTTAATGACCATGCATGTTTCACAACACTTCAGTGTATTTCCACCGCTATAAAATTATGTAAAATTATTTTCCAATGCAAAATTTAAATAGCATCTTCATTCCAGAATGTAATGTTTTTATTCCATAGCTTAAAAATCAGTATTTTCAGTGTAGCCATTTTCTTTAAAGTCTATTAACATAGTTTGTGTACTATTTAAATTTAGTTGCATATAGTTAATTATTCCTTATAGTTTTTAAAGACTACTGTAGCCAATCAGTCCATAGCCACTGAAGGAATGTAGAAAGTTAATAACTTCGGAGAGCATGGCTGTGGGTATTCTGTTTTTCTGTTTGTTTCCCTCTTTGCTGGAGAAGAACACTTCCTTGAGAGAAGTGTTTTGATTCTTTATAAATATACCAGTAATTAATGAGGCCAAATGAGTCCTACATGTTGACTCACTTTTGATTTTTATCTTTCAAAATGTGATTTAATGATGTGAGACTGAATGTGGACTTGAGCTCCTTGAAATGATTTGTTTAAATATTATTCTAAGGTACAACAGCAGTAGGGTAGATATGTGCATGTTACTTTTTGATTGAAAGAACTTTGCAGTTTTAATTTTGGAACCCGACATTCTCTTTATAATTCTCTGGTCAAACTTATAACTGTGAGAATTAAGTTATCATAATACCATCCAAGGTATTACCTTTACATAATATGACAATCACAGAACCAAAGCTTAGACGTGCTACTTCTCCTGTGATATACTTAAGATGAAATATTTTTTGAAATGTTTATAAACAGACTGATGTTAAGTTACCTAGTTACAGGGTTGTTCAGTTCAATTCAGTTCAGTCACTCAGTCGTGTCTGACTCTTTGTGACCCCATGAACTGCAGCACGCCAGGCCTCCCTGTCCATCACCAACTCCCGGAGTTTACCCAAACTCGTGTCCATTGAGTCAGTGATGCCATCCAACTATCTCATCCTCTGTCATCCCCTTCTCCTCCTGCGTTCAGTCTTTCCCAGCATCAGGGTCTTTTCAAATGAGTCAGCTCTTCACGTCAGGTTGTAGTCGTTGCAAATAAATATAGTGCACATCAGTTGTTTCCTGTAGTAGTCACGGAGATAAATTCACTGTGAATATTTTAGAATTTTGAGTTCTGGGGTAGTCCTGCTTTGCCCGCTTGTAGTTACTGAAAATAAAATTCATTCTTTATATCTAAAGTTATGATGCAGATAATTGTTGATGTGTAATAAATTAAATTTATATTTAAAAATAAATGAAATTATTACCTTTGCACATCTAAAATTGTTACATTCTTTGGTATTTGTGTAATTAAATATTTAATTTTTCTTTGAAACTTAAAAACTGTCATGTTAGCAAGTTGTGGAATCTTGTGTACTTTTGACGTGTGTAGGCAATCTAGGGAGTCATATATATATATATATATATATATGGAAGAAAAATATTTTTAAAATGAAGGTTGTGTAAAGTTTTATAATGTTCTGCAAGATGAAGTGGGTCTTGGGATTTTTATTTTCTAGAATATTCTGAAGGATCTGGAAAAAAGAAAAGCTGATTTAAATGCCATCACAGAGAGCAGTGCTGCCCTCCAGAACCTGATCGAGGGCAGCGAGGCTGTTTTAGAAGAGAAGCTCTGTGTCCTGAATGCCGGGTGGAGCCGGGTACGTACCTGGACTGAGGATTGGTGCAACACCTTGATGGTAAGTTTCAGGAAGGATTTCATGGTGAAATCCTTTCTCCTATAAATGCGTAAAAACGAATACAGCTTTGATTGGAATTCCAAGTCGTATTTTCTGTTTGTCACAATAATGTTTTGCTTGTGAATTAATTTCATTGACTTTTCATTTATCTTTTTCTTTGAAAAGATAATAACTAGAAAGAGTTCAGAGTATTTCTATTAAGTAATAAACCATTTGTGATATACATAAAAATGTGTACTTGAACATCTTACTAAATGTAACTTATTTGCAACATTTTAAATGACTTAATATTGTATTTAATTTTCATATTATTACAGGCTATATGTATAATTTTTTTTATGTATAATGTTTTTAATGTTCTAAAATTGGTTTACTAGTTAAGGGCACAGGTTCTAATATTGGATAGCCCAAGTTAAAGTTTTGACTATAAACTGGAGGACCTTGGTCAAGTTACTTAAGCATTTTCTAAATCTCAGTTTTCTCATATGTAAAATGGGCATTATTATAATTTTTACCTCATACAGTTTTTGTGATTATATAGTAGAAAACCTGTAGGGCTCTTATAACTAAAAATATAATCAATATAGATATTATGAAAGCTATGGTAATTACTAAATGTTATATGCTATTAATCTTTGGTTATACCACTACACAATTAACTAGTATTTCATGAAATAGTGACCCTCTACTTTCATAATGCTTTCTGTTTCTCTTATATTAATACTAACAATGAATATTATATGGCAGCATTACCATCTCTTCCCTTAAAAAGAGTTTTCATCAATAAATTATTTGTTCTGATATATCTGAAATAGGACTTTTTCCAAATTCATAGAATTACTGGGTAATGGGTAGAAACAGAGAAGAATAAATTATCATGTGTTTCAATATTTATTGAAATCAATCAGAATGTATAGGGCATTGAAGTTGGTGGGCTTACGTCTTGACCTGTCAGATTCATATTCAGAGTTCATCTAAAACTTACTGTCTTCATAACCTTGTGTGAATTACTTAATTTCACTAAGTTTTAATTTCCCTATATATAAAATGGAGTTAAAAGAACATATTCAGCAAAGTTATTAAATGTTGAATAACAAATGTGAGATCTTGGCTTATAAAATATGTTCTTTAACTATTTTGTATATTCATTTACATTGTAACTAGTTTTATTCCACATTCTCATAGTCCTTACTTCTGTTTTCTGCAGTCTATACCTTCTAAATTCTCCTTTCAAATAATATCTTTCTATTTCTATTAGAACATTTGATTTACCTGCTTTGGTCTGATGTTTATCAATTCTTAATTAGAATCCAGACCATTGTCATTGACATTTTTCTTATGTCATTTATTCTCATTTTTCAATGATTTTTTCATATTATACATTAATAATTTGCTTATTTTAAAACTTACTTCATCCTATAAAATATATTTCCTAAAAGTTGTTAATTTCGTCATAAGGCTCCTGTACTCTTTTTGATCAAATTCTAAATTCTTGCTTTTGCCTCAGGAATTCTGCCCTGTTTTAACTGGCTTAAGTGTTTGCTTCTGTTTTCAAATTTATATTCTCAATCACATGTTATATTGTGCTTCAGGAAATATCACTGAGGTCTATGCCAAGTGTCATGTTAAGTGCTAATGGTACTGAGGTGAAAAGACAGGGGCCGTGCCTCAAGCACTCAAGCTTTGAGTAGGCAAAATCTTATTCAACCATATTTGAATTGCTTTTTATCCTAGTAGTTCCTTAAATGAGTTCGTAACAAATATGATCAAGGCAGGACCAGTAAGATTATTTGTAGTATATGAATGAGAAATAGGGATTAAAATGAAATGAAATTTATAAAGGAACTTTTCGCCATTTATTCTTCCACTTTTCATTGTGTTGAGGTCTAAATTAAAAAGAAAAAAGTACCCAACCACAGCTGTGCTTCCGCAGTGGCTCAGGCAGTAAAGAATCTGCTGGCAATGTGGGAGACCCAGGTTTGATCCCTGGGCTGGGAAGATCCCCTGGAGAAGGGAGTGGCTACCCACTCCAGTATTCTTGCTTGGAGAATTCCGTGGACAGAGGAGCCTGGCAGGCTACAGTCCATGGGATTGCAGAGTCGGACACGGCTGAGTGATTAACACTTTCACTTTTACAGCTGTGCAGTTTTTGGAGTGAGATTTATCCATTGGGGAAGAGCTTTGCAGGAAGGTAGAAGTTCTTCTTGAAATTCAGCATTACTTAGGTCTTTGAAGACCTTTTAAATGTCTTTGAAGATTATTGTCTTAATTATTTCATATAGTCGTATCAGTGTTTTATTAATTCCTTTCTAGAACCATCAGAACCAGTTGGAAATATTTGATGGAAATGTTGCTCACATAAGCACCTGGCTTTATCAAGCTGAAGCACTGTTGGATGAGATCGAAAAAAAGCCAGCAAGCAAACGAGAAGAAATTGTGAAGGTAGCAGTAACAGATCTGAGAATGGAAGGTTTTGCTGTTGCCTTTCTCTTGAGGAATACTCCAAGTTACTGCACATGTGTTTCTTGTGCACTGGATTTATTAACTTTTATGTTGGTGGGGTAAACTTGAGAATGAGTCTTTTTTTTTTTTTTTGTCATAGCTAAATTTTTGTTCCATTCCTCTGAGGTAAGAATTGGCATCTAAAAGTGCCACATTATGGGAATATTAACATAATTTTTCCATTGTAATTTGATAAGCTAGGAAAACAGAAAATACGTCTCATTTTGTCATGCTGCATAGTTGAATGCTGCGTCGTTAGTTAACAGTGAAAGTGCATTCTTAGTTATTTTTTTCATGACTTGCAAAATTTGGTGGCATTACAGAAAGTCGGAGCAAAACTGACTTCATAATGAGCATTTGGCTTTCATTTCTTGCTGCATATTCCCCACTAACCCAGCTTTTCAGAGGGATCAGCTGTGAAAAAAAAGATAGTATGCTTTTTTAGAAGTGCAGTATGGCAGACTTCTTCACTTTGCTCAGCTGCTTGATACCCTTACTCATTGGTGATAAGCAAAGAAGAAATTGTTGTCCTGGGGATTCAGAGTCTCAGAAAAGTGCCAAGAGTACCCCTTATTCTTTCCTGTGTTTTTACATTTTGTTTCAAAGTTGAAGGTCAGACCTAACTTTTAAGAATTCCCCCTGGGAAATCTTTTCTATCTACTGCTCAGGCTCCACCTATCCTTCTTTGGAACTCTCTGACACATCAGACATGGATGAACAATTGAATTCTGGGTTACAAATATACTCTCGCAACATTTTGCAGACATCACTGAATGAATCTTTTTTTCCCCTTCACGTTTTTTATTGATGACAGGAAACACTGCATAATTAGAGATTTGATGAGGAACCTGCAAACAATAAAGAATGTATCTGTTGCCAGCAAAATAACAATTATTTCAGGTCCTTTAGACGTTACAGAGCTTTTTCACACCAGATGGTTCATGTGAAACAAAACCATTTTAGAGTGTTTAATTATTTGTCTGTAAAACCTTTAAAGCATGAATTAGTTTCCTTTCTTTACTACATTTTCCTTATTTCCAGGACTACACTTCTAGTGAATTTATTAAATTTATTACGTTTATTAAATTACGAACATACATTTAACATAACCTTTAAACAATTTTTCATGAAAGTCAAGACCTATTTGCAAAGTGTTTATTTCTTTCCACTTGATTTTTCTTAAAGAGAATTTCAAGAATCTGTACACAACTAGCAAAGTTTGAGACAAGCAGTGGCTGTTTTTTTTTTAATATGACAATCAGATTTAGATGCAAGAGAACACATATGAAAAGTTCCATAGTTAAGCTAATGTTCTCCTGTTTCTATCTACATATACTAATTTAAAAACTACTTCCTCAAACTACTTATTTTCTCTCAGCCAGCATAACAAGTAAGCACAGATTTTCAGAGCATTGGATTAGGCTCTACGTCTGAGATCATTGAGTGCCTTGCGGTATCCTTCTTTCTTGTAAATCACCAGGAAAACATCTGCAGAATTTATAGATACATATGGATAAGCTAGTACTTCACTCAAAATGTACTTATAGCCATACTCCTGAGAGAATTCCAGCACTCTTCAAAAACTTATGAATGAAGTAGGAATCGAGGCAGGTATTTGCATTCCTTTCTTAGGCCTGAAAATGAATTTAATGACCATTATGAAATTAGCCAGAGGAAACTGCATAATGTTGTTGTACATTTTAGTTAAAAACTAAATGATAATATTCAACTCACTTCCAAATCAGTTTACCTTCACCAAGGAAAAGGGGATGGTGGTAAACAAGATTTCCAGGGGGAAAAGAAGTTAAAGTCTCTTCCTTGCTACTTAATCTTTTATCAGCCTCAAGAAGCTTTACAACTCTTAGAATAAGATGGTTGAAGAAATGACACAATAAATCTTATAGACTATTCAATTATAAAGTAAAATTTTATATAAACTGGGAGTAGTTTAAAATGCTTCCCATATAGCATTTCCCATTCTCTCTCTTTTTTAAAATATTTGAATAGCTCTTATTCAAATTGATGGTATTGAAATGTCTTACTAGGAACCTCAGACATTTATTTAAGCTCCCTTTACTTCCCAGTTACCACTGCACACGTGTTTGGTTTTGATTTTTCCCATGTGATAATTTTGTGCTTTCTTACAATTAGCGTTTACTCTCTGAGATGGATGATGTCAACCTCCAAGTACAAAATGTCCGAGATCAAGCTGTTGTTTTGATGAGTGCACGTGGAGGCTCAAGCCGGGAGCTTGTAGAACCAAAATTAGCTGAATTGAACAGAAATTTTGAAAAGGTCTCTCAACACATCAGAAGTGCCAAAGTAAGTAATTATGTTTTAATATGAAACTATTTTCTTGTACATATGTAGCTGAATGGTAGATAGTTATATGGTGCTAGTGCTAAGTCGCTTCAGTTGTGTCCGACTCTTTGCGACTCTGTGGAAGGTAACCTGCCAGGCTCCTCTGTCCATGGGATTCTCCAGGTAAGAATACTGGAGTGGGTTGCCATGCCTTTCTCCAGGGGATCTTCCCCACCCAGGGATTGAACCCACGTCTCTTACATCTACCTGTATTGGCAAGCAGGTTCTTTACCACTAGTGCCATCTGGGAAGCCCCAATTATATGATATATACAACAAAAAATTAAACGAAAATGGTTTTATCACTTTTCTTTGATTGGAGCATTTGTTCTTATTTATGATTGTGCAAGTGAAGGAGAGAATCTAAGAAATTAGTATTAAAGAAAATAACCCATTTGAGAAAAGGTTTCAAGTATTAAAATTACCTAAGAGGAAGGGTCCTCATTTTTGTAGGCAGTAAATATTCTCTAACTTTGCTTTGTTTTGAAATATCTGATGTTGTTGTTGTTTAGTCGCTAAGTCCTGTCTGACTCTTTGCGACCCAATGGACTACAGCCCGCCAGGCACCTCTGTCCATGGGATTTTCCAGGCAAGGATACCAGAATGGATTACCATTTCCTTCTACAGGGGATCTTCCTGCCCCAGGAATCAAACCTGGGTGTCCTGCATTTGCAGGCAGATTCTTACCACTGAGCCACCAGGGAATCCCAAAATATCTGATAAAATAGGCCAAACTATCTTTCATAGCCTAAGAATATACTTAGATTATTTGCAACTTAAAGAAAACAAACAAAAATCTTGCTTTAACTCTTGCCTTCCTTACCTTGTGACCTAAGCTTACTTTAGTCTTTTCAGTAGCTCTATGGGAGATTTTTCTACAAATGTAAAAAAGTAATATAGGAGACATAGGAGGTGGATTGAAAGAAAGTATGAAGAAAATGATTATTTTTCCCATAAATAATTTCTGTTAACATTTTGACATGTATTTCTATTCTTATATGTATGTGAAACTAAAGTATCAAAATTTTTATATTGTTTTGTGTATTCTCCTTTGACAAGGTTTTTAATAGCTATTCAATTATATGATCTGTTGTGGGTTTTAAGTCAGTTTTCCACTTTTATTGTGCTTTTATAAATATTGTCTTTTTAAAATTCTCTTATGCGTGTCTTTTTACTTGTCTCTTAATATGCCCTTAGGATCACTTCATAGAATTCCTTGAAATTGTCGTGAAAGTTGTACATACAAATGCTGTTAAATAGCTTTTTCCAGAGAGGTTGCTAGCTTCCCCGTGTTCAGTCAACACTGCTAGTTTCCCTGCATTTCATTTTATTAAAGTTGTTACATTGATTTTGGACTTCTCCAGTGGCTCACTGGTAAAGAATCTGCCTGCATTGCAGGAGATTTAGGTGACACGGATTCTATCCCTGGGTTGGGAAAATCTTTTGGAGACAGGTCATGGCAACCCACTACAGTATTCTGGCCTGGAGAATCCCATGGACTGAGGAGCCTGGCAGGCTGCAGTCCATGGGGTCACGAATAGTCAGACATGAATGAAGCAACTGAGCATGCACACACATTGATTTTAGGCACGCCCATAGAAACTATTTCTATCTAGATATTGTCTGAAAATACTGCATTCAGAAGGATACACTTTTTTGAAGTTTGGATAGCACAATCCAAGGGGCACTGTACTGGAGAACATTAATTGGGAGTCATTCTTTGTCACGTTCCTGTATTCGGAGGTGGTCTTTCTTCCTCTCTGGCCAAGGCAGGGGTGGCTTCTGCATCATGGCACTGTTTCCTGATGTTTGACCACCAACTGTTTGTTTGTGGTCCCAGAATGCCCCTCACACACTCCAGGCAGTCAGGGTCCCTTGCACACTACTTCACATCTGTGGCTGGAAATTTGGAGAATGTGGTAATCAGAGATGCCCAAGTTGGTAAAAATTATTGCTGTGTGAATGAATAAACTAAAGTCAATTCAAATACATGCTAGTTCTTTCTTGACACTGATTAATGGTGAAAGGTCAAGTTAAGACTGTCTTTTTAAAGAGCATTTTTCCCTCCACAGTTGCTAATTGGCCAGGAACCATTATCATACCCGTGTCTGGTCACCAGTGAAGCATTTGAAGTTGGTGTGCCTTTCTCTGACTTGGAAAAATTAGAAAGTGACATAGATAATATGTTAAAAGTTATGGAAAAACACTTGGAATCCAGTGATGAAGATGAAAAGGTTGGTTCAAGGAGATTTTCAAAACCATGGTGTTGTCACTTTTGTTCTTTGTTAAATACATCTTTACACTAATGATGTTTACCTAGATATCTGCCAAATATGATAGAACAGATTTAAATGTGATTTTCTGCAAAGTGTCAATGTAAGATTTGTCATGTGATTTACACAATATCTTAAGAAAATAGACATATTTTCTGATGATAGTGTTATCTCAGTGCTATTTAACTTCCAAACTAGCAGTCTTTATGAGCTATTTTAACTTCATATATAAATATTTTAAGAGAAACACAAACATTTGTTGTGTATCATTCAGATAAACATGTTGACTATACTATACTTTGTAGGTTGGTTCTGCTTGGGAACTGATAGTAATTGACCTTGTGCTTTTTTCTTTTGAGTAATTTATATCTTTCAAATATTCAGATGGATGAGGAGAGAGCCCAGATCGAGGAAGTTCTACAAAGAGGAGAACAAATGTTGCATCAACCTATGGAAGATACTAAAAAAGAAAAGATCCGTTTACAGTTACTACTTTTGCATACAAGATACAACAAAACTAAGGTATTGTCATGGGGGAGATTCTTTTCCACTTAAATATCTTTTTCAGCTCTTGCCATTCAGATGTTTGATGTTGCAAATCAAATGATTTCTCAAATCATTTGAGAAATGATTTCCCAAATCAATGATTTCTCAAATCAATGAGGCATCAAATCAGTGATGTCTCAAACCAATTGGAATGGTATTTCTTTCTCCTTTCTAGTGTGTATTGCTAGATAGGTTTATATTTTTGGATGAGGCAACACTAAGAAAATAGAAAAACAAAACTTTATTATAGGACATCCCTTTTGGATTTTAGATAATGTTTTAAACCTTTGGGGGTGTGACTTCCTCCTTCAGTTTTGTATTTTGTGTGTAGAGGTCTTGACCACATTAAAAAAAAAATTCTAGTTTACAAATAACTAAATTTGTCACATTGATAAAACATGATTTATATTCTAGAAAAAGATTCACCACCAGCTCCCTTTTCAATGGCCATCTTTGCAGCTACATTGTAAATGTGCTGGTGTTCCTTAGAGGTCTGTTAAGTAATCCTAGAACCAGTTTTCGTCGATGATGTTGGAATCTACTAGAAGATTCAGGTTTCCTGGCTTGCTGTCTACTGGATGTCTCCATCTGTTTGTACTGCTGCCTTGTAACAGGTTCCAAGTTGAACTAGCCCTCTCACTATCTCCCCCCACCCCCAACCTGTTTCCTACTTTATTCCCTGTCTTACTTTTCAAAACTACCCATTCTCAAGGTAGAAACCTCAAAATCTTCTCAATCATTTCCTATTCCACATAGGCTTTGTTCCTCACACCACATGGAGGTTGGATTAAAACCATTAGGTCCAAATGAAATAAGATACGGGACTGAACCGGCAGTTGAATCCAGTTCTATCAGTTCCTTGTTTTATGAACTTGGGAAAGTAACTTCCTAAATCCTCTATCCCTTCCATAATTCAGACTTCTGTGATTTTTACCTATTAGTTATTTCCCAAGCTTCTCATAACTCCAGCCCATCTTCTGTATTTTTCTCAGGATTATTCCTCACTCCCTAAGTCATGGCTGATCATATGATTCCTATTCCAAGAACTTGTTCAGGAATATTGTAAAATGCATAAAAAGCTTTAAGTGCAAGATTTGTCACTGTAATGATAGATAGAGGCTTTGGTTTGACCTCTTCCTCCTCTGATTCACTGTCATTCCCCATATAGTATAGCTATACTGGTTTTTTCTACCTTTTCTCAATATACTGGTGCCTTAGTACCTCTCGAGTCTTGCTAAATTTATTGTTACTCCCTGGTGTGAGTTTTATCTTCTTATTTTATCTGAAAAATATGTTGTCTCTTAATACTTGTTTCCATTTTTGTTTCTAACATCTTTCAGATTATATTATAGTACTTTGTTTAATTGTTGCTTTTAAAAGTATCTTTTGTCTCTGGAACTTCATTTTTGGGCCCCAAATAGAGATAATTTTTAGACTTTTAACACATAAATACATTTGCTTTTTGAAAGTACTAATGTATACTATTACAGAGTGGCTTCATTTTGGTTTCACTAGCATTAGTTATTGTAAATAAAATGATTTTAAGACATTAAAGCATTTTTATCCTTCTTACACTAACCTATATACTTCTTCAAATCTATAGTTTTTAAAACTGTTAACTGTGAACATTAGAATCCCTTAAGTAGCTTAAATAAAGTCAAGCCTCAAACCAGTTAAATCAAATTCTTTCAGGTTGTGCCTAGGTGTGGAGACTTCAAGAAGAAAACTTTATAGATGGGTCTAAGGTTCAGTCAGCACTGAGGACCACCAGTTTACAGGACTTGTTTTCTTCCTTGTCTTTCTTTTCTCTTTTTTCGGGTGAGCAGTGAGCCACTGCCTGCTATGGGCAATATTTTACCCCCAGTTAAATGCTTTGAAAAAGTTTATGTGGATGAGAGGAGGTGGGGAAAGGGCCTAGAAAGGATTGCGTGGTGTGTGCACCTACAAAAGGCTGGAGCATGAGAAGGATTTTAGCTGAAAAAATTCTTTCACTTTCCCCTCAGTGAGTTTTCATTTGGATTAGCCTCATTATTGGGCTTCCCTGGTGACCAAATGGTAAAGAATCTGCCTGCAGTGAGATCTGGGTTTGATCTCTGGGTTGGGAAGATCCCCTGGAGAAGGGAATGGCTACCCACTCCAGTATTCTTGCCTGGAGAATCCCTTGGACCGCGGAGCCTGGTGGGCTACAGCCCATGGCATCGCAGAGTCGGACATGACTGAGCTACTAACACTTTCTCTTCACTTTTCACTTCAACCTCCTTGTGAATTCAGGCTGGAAATGGGAAAAGGAGTGAGAGGAGAATTGGGTGGAGATTGATGAAGAGAGAAAACGGAAGGAGGTGACAGGCAGTGGGGAACCAGAGCCTATTGTGAAGGGCTGTTAAATTTCTTGTTTGTTTTTTTAAAATAGACTTTATTTTTTTTTTTAGCAGCTTTGGGTTCACAGCAGAGAGTTTCTGCATACACCCTGTCCCCTCACCCCCAGTACACACACAGCCTCCTCCTTTATCACATCCCACCCCAGTATGTGTGTCACAACTGATAAATCTACGTGGACACATCACAGAGTCCTTAGTTTCTGTCAGGGAAGGGACATTAAGCTTTCAGTCAAGATCACGCTCATCCTCCGTGTCTCCTTCTCTTCTGTCCGTATTTATAATGTAAATAGTACCTCAGGTCAGAGACCTCCAGAGTCTCCCCTGAGAGCACGGAGCGGCTCCTGTCTATCATTTTCCTTTTCACCTGCTGCCTTTCACATGGTTTCTCCTACAAAGTGATATTGGTGGCTTTTAAATAATTCTGAATGTAAACTGAAAAAAGGACTCATTTTCTTATTTGAAATATATATTGAATGACCTTTTCTCATTTGTTTAATAGGGTATTGCTATTTTAAATTATGTGCTAACTCTTCATAAACTAAAGCTGTTAACCTTGTCATATTTGCTTTAAAAGTATCATCTTATTGATTTTTATCTTTTAATTATTTTACTTTTAATATACAACCAATTAAAATTTTTGTTTAGGCCACACATGACTAGGTTTTTCCTTTTTGAGTTTTTTTTTTTAAAATGTCCTTATCCTCCAGAGAGCTGATGAATGTTCAGCTCTGTTTAGTTCCAAGTTCTCCCTGTAAGTATGTTAGTGTTAGTTCTCAGTCATGTCCGTCTCTGCGACCCCATGGACTGTAGGTCGCTAGGCTGCTCTGTCCATGGAATTCTTCAAGCAGGAATGCTGGAGTAGGTTGCCATTCTCTTCTCCAGCGGATCTTTCGGACCCAGGGATCGAACCCAGATCTCCTGCATTGCAGGCAGATTCTTTACTGTCTGAACCACTAGGGAAGCCCCAAGTTTTCCGTATGGTTGGATAAAAACAAAACTTAAAAAATGTTTGTAATAGTGGTAATGGTTTAATCGCTAAAGTGTGTCCGACTCTTGGGCCCCCTGGCCAGTAGCCTGCCAGGCTCCTCTGCCCATGGGAAATGTTTGTAAAGTGTCATTTAAAATCAGTTTTTTAATGTATCTGGAACTTAGGTTGCTGTATGACATGAGGTGCATCATGTAGTATTGTCTAATTTTAGCGCTGCATTGTATATATCTGTATTTTTGTGTTCTAGCTGAATTCTTTAAAAATAAAAATATTGAGAAGTAAAGTCTAGGTTAGATCTTGAGGATCGTATTTTTCTCCTCGGGTGTTTTGATTGATCACTCTCTTGGGATAACACCTATTTCGGGAATATAGTAAGCTTATATTTGAATCTTGAATGGCCTTGCTGCTTCTGCAAGGGTATGGAGGTTCACTCAGGAAATCCTAGATTATGTGTATAGTATTAATAGAAAGGCCTTCCAGGTGGCTCAGTGGGTAAAAAAATCTGCCTGCAATGCAGGAGATGCAGGAGACTTAGTTTTGATCCCTGGGTTGGGAAGATTCACTGGAGGGGGACATGGCAACCCACTCCAGTATTCTTGCTTGGAGTATCCCATGGACAGAGGAGCCTGGTGGGCTATAGTCCAGAGGGTCACAAAGAGTGGGACATGACCGAAGTGACTGAGCATACATGTATGCATTAATAGAATACAGTATTTAATGAACATAGTTTTTTTTTTTTTTTTAAAGAAAAACCCTTCGAATTTTCTATTTACAATACTGATTGGCCTGCCCAGTTCACCTTGACTCGGATACATGTGACCTTGCAGAATCACAATCTGTTGTATAAATAAAGAAACAGCACAGAATTCCTTGCCTTGTAGTGGTTGTTAAGGTATATAAGTGACTCTCACCAGTCATTACAGATTGAAAAAGAATCTGCCCTATGATGTTTAGTGGTGCTAATGAGGAAAGTACTATAAAGTTGAATGTTCTACAAGCACAGATCAAATATAGCTGGAGGCCTGGAGTAATTTTTGGTCTTGAAAAAACAGAGGCTCTATGAGCAAGACATTGATTGACAGATGTGAAAGCCAAGTAGCAGAACAGGTTCCAGTTTTTGACTCTTTTGCTATGATTACTCAACATGTTAAGTACTTTCTTTGTGTCTTTTTTCTTTCTCCTTAAAGTTAAGAAGAGGAAGAACTGAGTTTCCTTTTATGATGTGCCAAAAAATTGGCCTGTTTAAAGTTAAAATCTGAAAAAAGATATTATTAACAAATATTTCACATCTGTTTATTAAAATTGGTTCCTAAGTGTACACATTTTTTTTCAGCCTTCTTTTATATTTACTTAAAATGTATAGTTTGCCATCTTAGACATACAAGTAGATAGCTAGACATGTTTTCTGACTGAAATTTGAATGTGTGGCATTAGTCTCATAAAATTAACATTAGTGTCAGGTAGAAACAAACCTGTGGATACAGTTAAGAAATCAGTGGACTTGCTTCTCACCTGGCTATCCAGGACTGCCTATCAATTGGTGAAAGTCGTAGTTTATCAGATTGTAGGAGACAGATAAATGCAGACTGCAGGAGTCGCCACCATCCTGATCATTCCCTGTTTTTAACCTTGGTTTTAGGTCTCATTTAGGAATTGGAACCGTTTTCAGTCATGACCATGTTCACTGTCATCTTTTGTAAGAACTAGTCATGTATTTATTTATTTTGGGTAGTGCCGGGTCTTTTTTGCTGCACAGCCTTTTTCTCTAGCTGTGCCGTGTGGGCTCCTCATTGCAGTGGTTTCTCTTGTTGCAGAGCGCAGGCTCTATCGCACACAAGCTTCGGTGGTTTGGGCCCATGGGCTCAGTAGTTGCACCTTCAGGCGGTAGCGCGCAGGTTCAGCAGCTGTGGCACTCGGGCTGAGCAGCTCCATAGCATGTGGGATTTTCCTGGATCAGGGATCAAACTCGTGTCTGCTGCATTGGCCGGCGGACTCTTTACCACTGAGCCACGGGAAAGCCCTTCAGTGTCATCTTCGAGTTTACAGAGGAGGATTTTTCAGAAGTTCGATATAGAAATCTGATGCAAGTGTCAAGGAAACTACTGTAATTCGTGAGTCGGATGCTCTTTGACCATTGGCAAGTAGTAGACAGCAACTATTAAATGGTAGCTGTCAAAGAGTAAAGGACTTGAACCCAGCGACTAATGGCCTATCCCAGAGAGCACTTTACTGTCTAGAAAGCTCTGATTAGGGGATACAGAAAACACTACACTGGGATAAATAATTGTCCACCTAAGTTAAAACCTGTCTGAATTTGGCATGGTAGGACCTTTCGTCTTATGTAGGGCATTCATATTGTGTTTTATTGTTCTCAGAGATTAAGATTATATACTGAATTGCCTGGATATTATTTTAATTAAACCTCCCATTGCATTTTCTATGTTATGTTACAAATACATGTTTTACCCTTATTTACTTTTTCACCAGCAAGGCCCAGAAGTGTTTAATCTAATTGTGAAATTAAAAAAAAAATGGAGTGTAATAATGTATATTATTAGTAATGACAATGGTATTAAAATTTTTGTTTCATACAGAATTTCATGATTTGCAGCATATTCTCATTTCTTAAATAACTTTGGAAAGGAGTCGTTATGCTTTCCTATTTTCTAAATGAGTTTAGTGGTGTAAGTCTTAAAGAAAAACCTTTCAAGCATTAACAGCTTATTTAAGCCTTTTAACAACAGGCTACAGAGAGATTGTTAATGGTTTCCATAGCAGTGCAGGGAAACTTTTAAAAAATTAAAGCAAGTTTTAAAATTTCTGCTTATGGATTTGAATTTCTCCACAAAATAATGTTGATTTTTTAAAAAGTTTTTTATTTACTGCAGTTCATTGTGGGTATATTCTAAGAGGTGTGTATTGCTATTATTGGTGTCTGTACAGGCAGTCCCTATTCAGCAGAGAACAAGTCAGCTCGCTCCTGGAATTAGATCACCACCCCTTCCTACAGATTATCTGGTTGAAATTAACAAAGTTTTACTTTCCATGGATGATGTTGAATTATCACTTAATACTCCAGAGCTAAGCTCTGTTGTCTATGAAGACTTCTCGTTTCAGGAAGATTCTCTGAAGGTAAATATCCAGGCAGTACATTTGAGTACCTGCAGTTAATATGGAAATAAAGCAAGGAATTTGTCACTGTGCCTACTTAGATGGTCTTTAGCCTTTTATATTTGTGCCAAGGAAATAATAATATGTATGAAAAACAAACTTTTCCTATATTGCCAATGAAATGCTGTCAAAAATTTTAATTTATTAATAGTAGGTATGGATTTTTAAATGTCCACAGTTTTTTTTTGCAACAGATACTTTAAAATCAAACACATGCACAAATCATATTCCTATCTTATAAACTTAATTGTCATTTGATGTAAAATGTGAGCATTATCTTACCATCTAGAACGATTTGATTGTCTAGTGGTTAGATTTGGAATGGCATGTTGATTGTAAGTTAATTAGGGATCTGAAAGTTTTCAGGTAATTTGTGAAAACTGTTTGATATCAACAAGACTCATATATTTTGATTGCATTTTTGTATCATGTCATCATAAACTTGCTGATAGAGTTGATAGGTTTATCTGATAACTCAGTTTTGTCTTAAATGACAATTTAAATATTAACATTATTAGTTGTTTGAAAGTATATGTAATTTCTAGCTTTAAAAAAAACTTCATTAAAGAAAACACTTCATTAAAAAAAAAACCACTTCATTAGTTTTACAGACTATTATTAAAGCTTTTTATATGTCCTGTACAAATGCTACTTTGAACATTATTGAGGAATTTTCCCCCACTATTAAAATATTATGTAGCATACCTCATGCTTTGGCCTGTACTGGATATTATTTTTTTAAAAAGTTTCCAGTTTTGATGAGCAACAATTATGTCTCATTATTTTTAAGTAACTTGTTCTATATAAATTTTTGGTCTCTTGTGATTCCATTCTTATATCTCTTTGCTGTCTTTTGTTAATTTATGAAAATATCTTTGTAGAATATCAAAGACCAACTGGACAAACTCGGAGAACAGATTGCAGTCATTCATGAAAAACAACCGGATGTTATCCTGGAAGCTTCCGGACCTGAAGCCATTCAGATTCGGGATACACTTACTCAGTTGAATGCAAAATGGGACAGAATTAATAGATTGTACAATGATCGTAAAGGGTATGTGCAAATCAAATTAATATTTAATTGTTTAAAAGACCTGTAAATTCATATGTACTTTATTTTTATTGAAGTATAGTTGAGTTACAGTATTATATGTTTCAAGTGAACAACATGGTGATTCAATATTTTTACATATTATGTAAAATACAAATTATTACAATATTATAGACTATATTCCCTGTGTTGTGTGCTAAATCTCTGTAACATGTTTATTTTTTTTACATGTTTATTTTATACTAGTAGTTTGTTTCCCTTAATCCTTCCTTACCTGTGTCACCCCTTCCCCTTACCCTTTTCTCCTCTAGTGATAACTAGTTTGTTCTCTGTATCTGTCTTTTTCTGTTTTATTATATTTGTTTCTTTTGTTTTTATATTTATTCTACATATAAGTAAAAACATACAGTATTTGTCTTTCTCCGTCTGACTTATTTCACTTAGCATATACTCTTTTGGTTTATCCATGTTGTTGCTAATGACAAGGTTTCATTCTTTCTACAGCTAAGTGCATGTATATATATAGCATATATATATATACACACACCTTTATCCATTCGTGTGTTGATGGACATTTAAGTTTTTTCTCTATCTTGGCTCTTTTAAGTAAAACTGTTGTGAACATGAAGGTGCAGATATCTTTTCAAGTTAGTTTTCATTTTTTTTGGATTCTCAGAGATGAAATTGCTTGATTATAGTGTAGTTATATTTTTAATTTTTTGAGGATCCTCTTTCCTGTTTTCCATAGTGGTGGTACAAATTTGCATTCCTACCACTAGTGGACAAGGATCCTCTTTTCTCCACATCCAAACCAGCACTTGCTATTTCTTATCTTTTTGATGATGGTCTTCGTAACAGGTGTGAAGTGATATTTCATTGTGGTTTTAATTTGCATTTCTCTAATGACACTAGTTGGGTATCTTTTCGTGAACCTGTTGGCCTTTTGTATATGCTCTTTGGAGAAATGTCTCTTCAGCCTCTGCCCATTTTTTAATTGGATTGTTTGATTTTTTGATATTGAGTTGTGTGAGTTTTTTACGTATTTTGGCTATTAACCCCTTGTCAGACGTCATTTGCAAGTAACTTCCTCTCAGGTGGCAGGTTGCTCTTTCATTTTGTTGATAGTTTCCTTTGCTGTGCAAAAGCTTTTTAGTTTGATGTAGTCCCATGTGTATGCTTTTGCTTTTGTGGTCCTTGTCTGAGGAGACACATCCCCCCAAATAGTGCTAAGGCCTACGTCAAAAGCATGTTGCTTATATTTTCTTTTAGGAGCTTTATAGCTTCAGGTCTTGCACTTAAGTCTTTAATCCATTTTGAGTTTACTTTTGAACATAGTGTGAGAAAATAGTCTAGTTTCTTTTTAACATGTAGCTGTCCAGTTTCCTCAACACTGCTTATTGAAGAGATTGATACTATATATGGAAAATTCTAAAACCTCCATCAAAAACTACTAGAACTAATACGTTTAGTAAAGTTGCAGGGTACAAAATTTAATATCCAGAAATCGGTTGCATTTCTCTACACTAATAACAAACTCTCAGAAAGAGAACTTTAAGAAAAAAATTCTTTTTTCCATTTGCTTCAAGTTGGTTAAAGGCCCCAGTTTTAATTTTACCCAGGGGGTTTTAAAGACTTATACTCTGGAAACTATATGACACTAATAAAAGAAATTGAAGACAACAAATAAGTGGAAAGATATTGTGCTCATGGATTGGAAGAGTTAATATTATTAAAGTATATATACTAACCACGGAAATCTACAGATTCAATATAATCCCTATCAAAGCTTCATCACCAGTCACATCCACACCTGGGCATTGTTTCTGCTCTTCATTCTTTCTGGAGTTATTTCTCTATTCTTCTCCAGTAGCATACTGGGCACCTACCAACCTGGGGAGTTCATTGTTTAGTGTCATGTCTTTTTGCTTTTTCATACTGTTGATGGGGTTCTCAAGGCAAGAATTGGTTTGCCATTCCCTTCTCCAGTGGACCGCATTTTCTCAGAACTCTCCACCATGACCTGTTGTCTTGGGTTGGCCTACATGGCATATCTTATAGTTTCATTGAGTTAGACAGGGCTGTGGTCCGTGTGATCAGTTTGATTAGTTTTCTGTGACTGTGGTTTTCATTTTATCTGCCCTCTGAGGGATAAGGATAAGAGGCTTATGGAAGCTTCCTGATGGGAGACACTGACTGTGGGGGAAACTGGGTCTTGTTCTGATGGGTGGGGCTTAGTAAATCTTTAATCCAATTTGCTGTTGATGGTCTGGATTGTGATCCCTCCCTGTATTTTGACCTGAGACCAAACTGTGGTGGAGATAATGAAGATAATGGTGACCTCCTTCAAAAGGTCCAGTGCACGCACTGCCACACTCCGTGCCCCGACCCTGCAGCCGGCCACCCCAGATCCATGGCTCCACCAGAGACTCCGGGACACTCATGGGCAAGTGTAGGTCAGTCTCTTGAGAGGTCACTGCTCCTTTTTCCTGGGCCCTGGTGTGCACAAGCTTTTGTTTGTACCTTCCTATGTAAATTCTGGTGGCTCTCTGGTGGGGTTAATGGTGACCTTCTCCAAAAGGGCTTAACCCACACCCAGGTCTGCTGCACCCAGAGCCCTAATCCTTGCGGTAGGCCACTGCTGACCCGTACCTCTGCAGGAGACACTCAAACACTCAGAGGCAGGTCTGGCTCAGTCTCTGTGGGGTCTCCTGGTGCACATAAGTTCTGTTTGAGCTCTCCAAGCATCTCTGGCAGGTATGGAGTTTGATTCTAAACATGATTTTTGCCCCTCCTACCATCTTTCTGGGGCTTCTTCTTTGCCATTGGTTCCAGGGTATCTTTTTTTGGTGGGATCCAACATTCTCCTGTTGATGGTTGTCCAGCAGTGAGTTGTAATTTTGGAATTCTTGAAAAAGAAGATGAGTGCATGTCCTTCTACTCCACCATCTTGTGGAGAGTTGTAAAGAACAATATTGCATAGGAACTTGGAATGTTTGGTCCATGAATTAAGGCAAATTGGAAGTGGTCAAGCAGGAGATGGCAAGAATGAACACTGACATTTCAGGAATCAGTGAACTAAAATGGACTGGAATGGGTGAATTTAACTCAGATGACCATTATATCTACTACTATGAGCAAGAATCCCTTAGAAGAAATGGAGTAGCCCTCACAGTCAACAAAAGAGTCTGAAATGCAGTTCTTGGATGCAATCTCAAAAACAACAGAATGATCTCTGTTCATTTCCAAGGCAAGCTGTTCAGTATCACAATAATCCAAGACTATGCCCCAGCCAGTAAGGCTGAAGAAGCTGAAGTTGAATAGTTCTAGGAAAACCTACAAGAACTTCTTAAACTAACATCCAAAATAGATGTCCTTTTCATTATACGAGACTGGAATGCAAAAGTAGGAAGTCAAGAAACACCTGGCGTAACAGGCAAGTTTGGCCTTGGCGTATAAAACAAAGCAGGGCAAAGGCTAGCAGAGTTTTTCCAAGAGAACGCACTGGCCATGGCAAACACCCTTCCAACAACACAAGAGAAGACTGCACATGGATATCACCAGATGGCCAACACTGAAATCAGACTGATTATATTCTTTGCAGCCAAAGATGGAGAAGCTCTGTACAGTCAGCAAAAAGATGACTGGGAGCTAATTGTGGGTCA